CACAGCCATTCGTAGTCTCGCAATTTGTGCCCACTTACGGGTGTAATTACGAAGGGAGCAGCAGTAAGGAGCCTACCACATACACTGCCAATTGTGATAACCATGGCGGGCCATGAATGCGGGATTAGATGTATAGGGAATATGACAGTTTGCACTTACACTTAGGGCCATCCTAGACCCATCCAGACCTTTCCTGTCCTACATTTCCACCCCAACGCCCCCGGCTTTTGTCCCATTGTCAATCCATCATTACCCCTATCGCCGCACCCCTTCGAGCAGCAACCCCAGCAAATTCCAAGGCAAATCTCTGGAAATCCCAACACTTTGTTCAAACATATAAGCCCAGATCTTCTTCCTGCTGCTGAATCTTTATCTTGCGCCCATCCGGACCCAGTTCGGGAGGTGGGTTTTCTTTTCAATTTAGCTGAGGGCACGCTGAAACGCGAGGCCATTAAACGCTTTAAAATCAACATCAACACCGATGACGACGACAGGGGCAATAAAGTCGACCCAAAAATTGCTTCCTGTGCACATAAAACTCAGTCGGGGCCAGAAAACAACCTAAAATACCTATACACTCTCACACATAGCGGAACAACTGCTGAGCCTTGCAAACAAACGCGGTAAAAGTAAACGAAACACTTTGCTTATTCCCATTCCCATTCCCATTCCCATCCCCACTCCGAATCCCATTGCCAATCCTCCTCCCAGCCCACTTAATACTTAAATGCAAACGTGTAAATTATGTGATTTTTCCCCGGCGGCCATGTTTGTTTGCAAACTCCATTACCAACATGGCGGGAGTCGCACATCCCACCCGCGCTCCCCGTTCACCTGTTTGTTTCAAGCAATCGTCGCGCTTTACCATTAAAATGCGAGGAGCAACAAAAAATCCAGAGCCCGCCCTGGATACCCCTTTATGCGCCTTTATGTGTTTTTCATGTACTTTTATTTGATTGTCGCACGCTTTGGCGCCCCAGTAGCGGGTGGAGGGGCGTGGCACCTTCCCTTTAATGGCGATGTTTTTTAGTGCTCAAAATATTAGCAAATGTTCATTAACGGCTATGCAAATTGGTTGAAGCCAGGACCGAGCCAGTCCGCCGGACTTCGAAAAGGCAATTACTCAAAAAGTACTTAACACACAATTGTTGCGTGTGCCCGAGGGATTGGAGTTGAGCCGAAAACCCCTTACAAGGCAACGCCTGAAACTACGTATTGAATCTCAATTGGACTTCGCTCTCGCAGGGCAGAGTTCATGGGTTCACCATGCGCCTAATTCGCCGGTCTGTTAGCTTTGCGAAATTTCCACACTTCAAGTAATTTTTAATTATGAACATGGCAGAGAATCTCAACTGTCTGTACTTTCATGTTTGCACTTTAAATACCTAGATACCTAGAGTATGTTACTCTTAGGTAGTAAGGATATGTTTGTAACAAGGTGATGGAACTTAATCATCGTTTCATTCATCAGTCATGTCCATGATAGGAGACCATCTTTAACAGGGTATATGGCAGTCTGAACACATCCCGACCCTAATCCCTCTTGTTTTCATCTTCAGGAGCACTGGGTGCAAAGTAGAGGGCCAATGGGGCGAAATCCAGCCGCCTGGAAAGCCAATTAAAATGAAATCAAGCCAGGACCTCGCCCACTCACCGCCGTGCCTTTTGGCCCGCTTTCGCCCCAGCAACTTAGGAAGTTTATTGGACTACGACACCTTGGAGCCCACACACAAGTGGGATGTGTATAAATTTGTAATTTTAATATTATTAAAAATGTTAAATTGCACGCAGCATAAATCACATTTGTGTTGCACTGCCAGGGGTAGTGGCGCCAGATTGCTGCCCAGAGGGGTTGACACCCACAGAACTACATGCCGGGCGACACATTATACTCTCGCCATTACAGCCAGCTGCGTTTGCCACACTATTTATATTTATATTTATACTTTTATTGTTGTCGATGCTGCTGCCGCTGCTAAAATATCGCCAATCTCACCACCACTTTCCCCGGCGGCCGGCGGATGTGCTATTTTAATTTAAGCGATTTACTCTCGGGTTCATAAAACGGCCGCAGGCTTAATCCCCATTTTGCATAAAATGGCAATGTAATAAAATGGAATGAAATTAATAAACCGAAATTTTATGTCCCAGCGCATTAAAGTGGCTGCCCGAGAAGGAGTTGTAGATTTGTTGAAAGTTTTCAAAGGGAATGCGGCTAATCTGGCCGAAGAGCTCATTTAATTTATTCGACTGCCGCAATCAAGTCGAGAGTTCAACAAACTGGAGATAGACATTCAGCAGAAGCGATTGAGGAGGATACATGGGGGCTAAAGCTGACATATTTGTGATCTATTCCACCGATAAATTGACCCGTGTGGGCGGTGGATGCCATTTATCGTGGCATACTTTGTCGTGTCTGCCATTACGTTTAATGACCCCGCAGCACTCTCATCTCATCTGCCCGCAAACACTTCCGAGGGAACCGGAGCCTCCTTTTTTAAAAGCATCCAGCGCCCATTAACTTGTGTGAATTTATATCAGTCATTGGCCCGCCACCTCCCACTCCCACCACTGACTACACCGACTACTGACTACTGACTACTGACTGCTATTATGCGTTCGTTAATTATTCACACACAAATACATGGCATTCCCTTACTCCACATGTTTCGGTCATAAAAACTGCCAGCCCGCCTGCCACGCCCCCTTAACGAGGCAACTAACTCTGGGGCTTCGCCCAGAACTCTCGGCTTAACCTTTGCGAACGGATTGGGGATCTCCTCCTCCCTGGACATTTATGCATCTCCTTATCCCGCTATCCCGCTATCCCACCATCTCGATATCCCACTTTCCCGCTCACATATGGAGAGATCTTGACATTAAATAAATCTAACATCCCGTATACGCTTAGTGGGCATCTTTAATACTCATCCGCACATTTCCACAAATGTGTGTATATGTAAAAAAATGACGCAGACATTATTCACGCTATCATTGGGCACACACGAAGGGGCAGGGTCAAAAGACAGCTCGGAGCATGATGGAGGGGGAAGCGGTTGTGGGTTAGCCCGAAAAGCGTCCGAAATATGTATGCTCTTATGGGCTTGGGGATTCCCGAGTGCCGTGGCTCGTTTTGCCAGAAATTACAACGATTTTTCGTGAAAGCGAACGTTTGTCACCCGCGCGCATTTAAGCCACATGTCGCTAGTAGTTTGCCCGTCTGCCGCAGGATGTGTAACCGAGTCTGCCATTGATAGCAGCATGCGTTCCGGGCCGAATGAGCAGGCATAACCTCGAAAAACGACCGCCTAAACTTTATTGCGTGAAAGTGAGAAGGCCAAAAGTTGACCGGCTGATTGCTGCGTAACCCAAGCTCTGCCGGACAAAAGCTGGCTGCGTTGTAATATGCCATTTCCCAGTCACTGAGTAGGAGGGGAATGGAGCTTCAACCCCGTTCAAAGCGGCTCCCGAGCGAACGCTCCATGTCACATAATCGAATTATCATCATGGCATCAACAAATGATTTCAACTTACGCTGTCCTTTGGTCCTGCCGCTCCTGGTGCTGTCACCACCGCTCTGGCCGTCCTGCGGCGTTGCCTTTTTTCACTTCACTTCATTTCACCACAGCCCATCCTCGGATTCCCATCACCCGGCAGCCAGGCAAACCTTTCTCCTCGCTTTTTTTTTCCATTTCTCCCACTGGCTCCTGTTTTGCCAACGTCATTGTCGCTGGTCATTTGCGCTGCTTACTTCTTCCATTCATTCGCCGTTCGTCCGTTTCATTTCGCTTCGTCCTTTTTTCCAGCTTTGTTCCGTCTGTCGTCTCGTTTGTTTGAGGTTATGTTGAATGTCAGTTTGTTATCCTTGTGCAAATCCTTTTATACAAATGAAATTTGCGCCAAATGGCGATAAGCAAAATACAATAGTGTGCGGATAGACCCTGTCCGTGCCCCTCTCGGCTTGCGGTTTCCCAGGAAACGGAGCTGGGTGACCATGCCATGTCCGAACTCGGTTTAAATGGAAAATCGCACGCTCAAATGCCCGAATTGATTACTAACCAGACTCTACCTTATCTCCTCCCGTTGCAGACATCAACAAGGGCTCACCAATCGACTTCAAGAGCGGCTCGGCCTGTTCCACACCCACGAAGGATACACTGAAGGGCTACGAGCGGAGCACGCAGGGCTGCATGGGTCCTGGGCTGCCGCCGCGCAGCGTCATGAACGGACTGCCAGCGCACCACTACTCGGCGCCGATGAACTTTCGCAAGGACCTGGCGGCACGCTGCTCGTCACCGTGGGTGAGCGTAATCGCCATCACGACGCTCGTGGTGACCGCACTCATGCTGATCCTGCTGACCACCTTTGGCGGCCTGCACTGGACTCAGTCGGCGCCCTGCTCCGTTCTAGTCGGCAACGAGGCTTCGGAGGTCACCGCTGCCAAGAGCACGAACACGGACCTCTCCAAGCTGCATAACTCCTCGGTGCGGGCGAAGAATGGACAAGGCATTGGACTGGCCCAAGGACAATCTGGATTCGGAACAGCCGTAGCGGGCGGTGGATCCTCTGGCGGATCTTCGGCGGCCACAGTGACGACGGCCACCTCGAACAGCGGCACCGCTCAAGGACTGCAATCGACGTCCGCCTCCGCGGAGGCCACGTCCTCGGCGGCTACGTCTTCCTCGCAGTCCTCGCTAACGCCTTCGTTGTCCTCGTCCCTGGCGAATGCCAATAATGGAGGTAATTATGCACAACTTTTAATTATTTTTAAATGAGTTTTCGCAAGTTTCGCCAAGCAGCTATAGAGCAGAGATGCAGGAGGGGCAGCGAGCGAGACAGAGAGGGCGAGAAAGCCAAGACGCCGGAGTATTTAGCGCTTAGCGCCCTCTGGCGGAGACAAAAAGTTTATTGTTTTTTCAGGATTTTTTAACTTGAAGTTTGCGCCTGACAGACAGACGCCTACGCCGGATAGGGATTATGCGAATGCCGTTTTCATTATTTCTCAGAACGGCTTCCCATTTCTTTCAATTAAAGTTCAGCTTGAGCGCGTTCTTTGGGATTTGTCGGGCTAAAATATTGCATTAATTACTTTTTTGAATTGACAGCAAGGCGTTCGAGAAGGCGGTAGTCCAAGGGAGACAGTCGAAAGTTTTCATTGCCACAACTCGGGTTCGTCCTTGTCGAATTGTAAGGAGATAAATCGCACTCTCTCTCTCTCGATTCCCTGCTCACTGCTCACTTTAGACAAAGCTAGACAACTAGGATTGAATTAAAAACACATTTAACGCTTAATTTAAAGAGGCGTGTGACTAGGGGTGGCTTTCACTGGAGCAACCCAGCCGCAAGGGCACTCTGAAAGCACAAAGTACAGTAAACCCTCACCCCGTTCGTTTCGATTCGATTCGTTCGGTTTGTACACCTGTAGAAAAATCAATGTCAACGCTGTCAGTCAGTGGGGCAGGAGATAAAGGACGACGACACCGACGAAGCTTAATCGAGGGACAGGACGAAGATGATGTGGCTACAGATGGAACTTTCAGCGACTTAATTACAAGCGAAAGCCTCAACCAGCAGTCTGCTGAACAGTATTCGGCAACTACCCCAGCCAAAGGCCTGACAGACGCCGCTATTCAAGGCAGCGCCGGTAAAAGTTTGCCCCGAACCGATGGAGTGTTTGGTCCCCAAGAGAGCGAGGCGAGCACGGACACCAGCGACTATGTCTATGAAGACGAAGTTGAGCCGGAGACCACCCCAACGCCTAGACGAAGATCCAAAACGGGGCAACAATTTGGCAAATCATTAAACAGCAATTTACGCAGCGCTGCTAAGACACTGGTCAACAAGAAGAGGAAATATGACCACGGACCGAAGGAGGCGGAGCACATTAAGCAGCAGGAGGAGGATGAGGAGGAGCGTCTCGAAGCGATTGGGATGGCAACGGAACTAGCGACGGAGTCGGAGACCAGCACATTGGTTGCTGTTATTGATGACGATAATCAAAGTGACAACAGCAGCTCAGGCCCAACGCCGGAGACGACTCCGAGGAGTGACACCGATGACATTGTTGAAATCAACACCCCTCAGAGCTCTTTCACCGCCGCCTCCAACCAGCCTGCCATTGAAAATGATTTTCAAATCAAAGGCACGGAAGCTGGGGGTTCTCAGACGGAGAAACCTGCCACTGATGATATCAATAATGAGCGTGATTTAGCTGACAACTATGAGGTAGACACTGAGGAGCCGACATCACCAGCCACACCCCCAGAAGGTATAAATCAAACCCACATCGACGGCAAGTCGAGCCATGCCAGTGGTGTAGAGTTGCGACTTGAGTTCAGACTTAGAAAATAAACTTACGATGCTTTCTTCTAGGTTTCCAGAACGTTGGCAATATTTATTTACTATGCAATTCTAAATCGAGTACTAGTACTTACTTACTTAAAGAGTACTAGCTGCTAGGGCCTGCGACTCGAGATTAAATAATAAATAAAATACCTAAATATTTAGATTGGTTCTAAAAACAAATTGATTCATAATGGTTTCTTGTGAAATTGTATTTAAACTATCAGAAGTTTTTTTTGACCGAAAACGAGGGCTCCGACGCACTCTAGAAGACGGCTTTATCGTCGTCGTATAATATACGTTTCCTTTAAACTTAAAAAAATATCCAATATTTAAATTGGCGAAATTTTTTGTCTTTCAATCCTTAACAAATCCTAAGGTCTATAGGTCTTAGGTCTATTTGAAAGCATCGTAATAGGTTTTCTGAGTCTATGCATCCAATTGTCCACCACTTGAACTTATCACTCATGCAAATTTCGGTATCAAAGGTAAGGAAAGCCAGAAAAACACAGAGGAGTCAGTACACAGCCATATACCAGAGATGGATCGAATGATGAACGATGCCTCGAACTTTGAAGATATCGATATAGTCAAGCTAGATGGATTGCCCAGTTCCCACGAAGAGGAAGTCTACAAGACGGCAAAAAAGCTCGAGGCCACTCCAAAGGCAAAAGCAGACGGCAGTGAAAACGAGGTTTTAAAGGAACAGCAAAAGGATGACGAGGTACCCCCTCATCTTAAGCCCCTCAAACCATACCTGAGTGAGCGCGTTGATCTGCCGGCGAAGCGCATATTCCTGAACCTGACAATTGCCACTGACGAGGACAGCGACTCTGTCTACACCCTGCACGTGGAAGTGCCAACGGGTGGAGGGTCACACACCGTCAAGGAGGTGCTGACCCACGAAAAACCACGACCCACGAGTGACCAGGCTGACAGTTGCGTCCCGGAGCCACCGCCCCGCATGCCTGACTGCCCATGCAGCTGCCTCCCGCCACCGGCGCCCATCTACCTGGATGACAGCGTTGACATTGACTCTGACCCATCAGCCACCACTACGACCACTTCCACCACCTCGACGCCTCTGGAGAGGGCGACCATTCCGAGTCCCGTACACAACGAAGAGGAAGGGGAGGAGAAAGGGGATAGGGATGTGGAGCCAATGACTGCCTTAAGCCCCGCTACTAACCTTCCTAGCACAGAGATCGATAACCACATTGCCGCCTTTACTGAACCCACTGTTGGTGCTGGTGGTGAACCGTTTGCATGTCCTGATGTGATGCCAGTTCTGATACTGGAAGGTGAATTGTGCACATTTGTTGCTAACTCCGCTTCGTCTAACCAGCAACTAATTAAACCTACTAAACGCTGTACAGCCTATTAACTGTAAACTTTGTAACTAAACCAGTTCATCTCTCATCAGTCCGCATTTGTACAAACTATCTCGAAGTATCGAATTCTGGCATCACATCAGCATCTAGCACCAGCCCTTGGGCTTGTATATATTACGTCCTCCCCCATTCACAAATTCAGCAACGCGGGGGGAATCTCGAGTAGGTTAGACTACGACTTGTACAAATTCGTGCCACCTCAACCCAAACTACACATACACTATGCCTAACCGTTGACTAACCAGAAACTAATCCTCTTTGTGTCTCTATCACCCCACATTGCACCCTGGAAAACATTGCGATCGCTTGTTGCCGCTGCCTAATCAGGAGCCCGAACATTCCCGGCACGAAGCTTCCCACCGGACGGCACTACCTTTGGGCAGATCACTCTTGGCCAGAAGTTGACCAAGGAGATCCAGCCGTACAGCTACTGGAACATGCAGTTCTACCAATCGGAGCCAGCTTACGTCAAGTTTGATTACACGATCCCACGGGGCGCATCCATTGGAGTTTACGGCCGACGCAATGCCCTTCCCACCCACACGCAGTACCACTTTAAGGAAGTGCTCAGTGGATTTAGCGCCAGCACACGAACGGCCCGGGCCGCTCACGTAAGTAGCCTAAGCGCAAGTGGCACCTCATGATCGTGTACTAACTATCGTAACGTATCTTTTTCATGCACCATCTCATCATATACACACTCTGCACCATCACTCGCTCGACCGTTCGCTTGGCCTAACCTCGTGCAGCTGTCAATAACACGGGAGGTTACTCGCTACATGGAGCCGGGGCACTGGTTCGTCTCGCTCTACAACGACGACGGGGACGTGCAAGAGCTGACCTTCTTCGCGGCCGTGGCCGAGGATATGACCCAAAACTGTCCCAACGGCTGCTCCGGCAACGGTCAGTGTCTGCTGGGGCACTGCCAGTGCAATCCCGGCTTCGGTGGCGATGACTGCAGCGAGAGCGTGTGCCCGGTCCTGTGCTCCCAGCATGGAGAGTACACCAACGGGGAGTGCATTTGCAACCCGGGCTGGAAGGGCAAGGAGTGCTCTCTGCGGCACGACGAGTGTGAAGTGGCCGACTGCAATGGCCACGGCCACTGTGTCAGTGGAAAGTGCCAGTGCATGCGCGGCTACAAGGGCAAATTCTGCGAAGAAGGTAGCGCTCGGATCTTGGATCCTTTTCCCCAATCCAGCTTGCCGCCATCCCTTTCAGACACTTACTAACTTTCTTCCTCCTTCTCCTTGTCAGTGGACTGTCCGCATCCAAATTGCTCAGGCCATGGATTCTGTGCTGACGGCACCTGCATCTGCAAGAAGGGCTGGAAGGGACCTGACTGCGCCACAATGGATCAGGACGCACTGCAGTGCCTACCCGACTGTTCCGGCCACGGCACCTTCGATCTTGATACTCAGACCTGTACCTGCGAGGCCAAGTGGAGTGGCGACGACTGCTCTAAGGAGCTGTGCGATCTGGACTGCGGTCAGCACGGTCGCTGCGAAGGTGACGCTTGTGCCTGCGACCCGGAGTGGGGCGGCGAGTACTGCAACACCCGACTATGCGATGCCCGCTGCAACGAGCACGGCCAGTGCAAGAACGGCACCTGTCTGTGCGTCACTGGCTGGAACGGAAAGCACTGCACCATCGAGGGTTGTCCCAACAGTTGCGCTGGACACGGACAGTGCCGGGTGAGTGGCGAAGGTCAGTGGGAGTGCCGCTGTTACGAAGGCTGGGACGGACCTGACTGTGGCATTGCGCTGGAGCTGAACTGTGGTGACAGCAAGGACAACGACAAAGGTATGTGCCGGAATCGTTAAGATGACAAGTGGATTCTACAGCAATTGTTTTTAATCCTAGATGGCCTGGTTGATTGCGAGGACCCCGAGTGCTGCGCTAGCCACGTGTGCAAAACCTCCCAGCTCTGCGTTTCAGCTCCGAAGCCCATTGACGTGCTGCTCCGGAAGCAGCCGCCGGCCATCACCGCCTCGTTCTTTGAACGAATGAAGTTCCTTATTGACGAGAGCAGCCTGCAGAACTACGCCAAACTGGAGACCTTTAACGAAAGGTAGGTGCTTCCTGGTAGCCAGTTTGTCCTGGACAGTTTTTAGTTACAAACCGAAATCGAGGCCAATGGCTGTGTATAGTTTCCACAATTGGCAGACAAGCTAAAGTCCTCTACTGTACATTATTGAGAGTCTAGTTGGTTACATTACTGTAACTAAACCAATACTACAAACAAAAAAAAAATAATCAAATAGTTTGCATAATTAATAATTTTCTATGTTTAAATATTTACGTTTTTCGTTTTCGTGCCCTCGTCTGAAAAAATCCCCAAACTGAAAACATGTTTCAACCACATACCAAAATCCCATTAAAATCTTGTATATATAATCCCTATATGTCCTTTGTTTTAACCGAACCCAGACAGAAACATCCTAAGTTAGTTACTAAGTGAATATGGATTAAGAAATATTTTAAGCACCCTAAGTATTCACCTAAGCTACGATTAAGTTCGTCAAACGTCGCGATTTCGGTGAGATCGAAACGGAGCAAAGCTTTAGGGCCTCCAATCGATCTGGTGGGGGGATAATGAACACACTTACCCATTCTAGCTAACTAGACCATAGACAACCATGCTAATTCAATTATTTTCTCTCTGCTCTCTTTCTTCTCCACACGCGCTCCCTAAACCGTGTCTAAAATAATATATACCACCTACTAAATTACTCCTGTTCTACTCGATACTCACTACTAACTACGCACATACTCACTACCACACTACCCACTACGCGTCACGAAATTCCAATTCCAAATGCTTTCCATTAATCAACGATTGCCAATCGCTCTCGTTATTCGGTACTCGATACTCGGTGCTCGGTGCTCGGTGCTCGGCACTCGATATTGTTGCCCGAACTCTTTGTAACTCGATAACGATAAATCAATCAAATACTAACAGCATTTTTTGGAATTATTTCAATGCAAGGTAAGCAAGCGAAAAGCGGTACTAAAATAATACTAAAACTACTACTCTACTCTACTACTAACACTACTGATTCTCGATGGTTGTTTGGTACACATTTGTATACTTTTCTGGTTATTCTCGTTACCTTGGCTCCACTCGCTATTAATTTCGAAAACTTTACCATTATCATTGCCGTTACACTTACCGTTAAAGTTACAGTTACAGTTACAGTTACAATCACAGTTACCATTGTCATTATCATTTCGTTTATAGCGTAGCCATCTTTATTTCTTATAAGCTCAGTTGGTAGTTTATTTTAAGTTCATTGGCCAAACTTATTATCCAGACAACCAGGACAAAGTGCTTTGGGTTTTAAGTTTACCACGTAATAGATCTAAGCTATGGAAACTCGATCTCCTACTCGTACTTAGGTCAATGCTAGGTCACAAACATGAGCTATACCAAGAGAGAAACCATACATAACATACTATATATTGTTCATCTTGTAATACCTTTATGTGTTAAAACGAGTCTTATGTTCTGTGCGTGTGAATTATTATAATTTGTACTTATTTATTGCTCAAGTAGTTGCCAATCTTCAGTTTGACTGCTTGCTAGCCTAGCTAAATCTATGCCTAGATATGCTCCAGAAGACCCAATCCCTGCTAGACCCTACTAATCCATCTTCTCTGTCCTTCCAACAGTCGATCAGCGGTGATCAGAGGCCGCGTGGTCACGTCCTTGGGCATGGGCCTGGTGGGTGTCCGAGTGTCCACCACCACGCTCCTGGAGGGCTTCACCCTCACCCGAGACGATGGATGGTTCGACCTAATGGTTAATGGCGGAGGAGCCGTGACTCTTCAATTCGGACGCGCGCCTTTCCGGCCACAGTCACGCATTGTCCAAGTGCCATGGAACGAGGTGGTTATAATTGACGTGGTAGTCATGAGTATGTCGGAGGAAAAGGGACTGGCCGTGGCCACGACGCACACCTGCTTTGCACACGACTACGACCTGATGAAACCAGTTGTACTGGCCTCGTGGAAGCACGGATTCCAGGGCGCTTGCCCCGATCGCAGCGCCATACTGGCAGAGTCTCAGGTGATCCAGGAGTCGCTACAAATCCCCGGCACTGGCCTCAATCTCGTTTACCACTCTTCCCGTGCCGCTGGTTACTTGTCCACCATTAAACTGCAACTGACCCCTGACGTGATTCCGCCCTCACTGCATCTGATCCATCTGCGCATCACCATCGAGGGTATCCTGTTTGAACGCGTCTTTGAGGCTGATCCAGGCATCAAATTCACGTACGCCTGGAACAGACTTAACATCTACAGGCAACGCGTCTATGGAGTGACCACGGCTGTCGTGAAGGTCGGTTACCAATACACCGACTGCACCGATATCGTGTGGGACATCCAGACAACCAAACTGAGCGGTCACGACATGTCAATCTCAGAGGTTGGCGGTTGGAACTTAGACATCCACCACCGCTACAACTTCCACGAAGGCATCCTGCAAAAGGGCGATGGCTCGAACATCTATCTGCGCAACAAGCCCCGAATCATCCTGACCACGATGGGCGATGGCCACCAGAGACCTCTTGAATGCCCCGATTGTGACGGATTAGCTACGAAGCAGCGCCTCCTGGCACCCGTCGCACTGGCCGCTGCTCCTGATGGCAGTCTCTTCGTCGGCGACTTCAACTACATCCGCCGCATCATGACCGACGGCAGCATACGCACCGTGGTCAAGCTGAACGCCACTCGAGTCTCGTACCGCTACCACATGGCCCTTAGTCCGCTCGACGGTACATTGTACGTCTCGGATCCAGAGTCGCACCAGATCATTCGGGTACGCGACACGAGCGACTACTCGCAACCTGAACTTAACTGGGAGGCTGTGGTGGGCTCTGGCGAGCGCTGCCTTCCCGGTGACGAAGCACACTGTGGTGATGGAGCTCTGGCCAAAGACGCCAAACTAGCGTATCCCAAGGGCATAGCCATTTCGAGTGACAATATCCTTTACTTTGCTGACGGAACCAATATCCGAATGGTTGACCGGGATGGAATCGTAAGCACCTTGATTGGCAACCACATGCACAAATCGCACTGGAAGCCAATCCCTTGCGAGGGAACCCTGAAACTGGAAGAGATGCATCTCCGCTGGCCCACTGAGTTGGCAGTCTCTCCAATGGACAACACTTTGCACATCATTGATGACCACATGATCCTACGCATGACTCCGGACGGTCGGGTGCGCGTTATTTCCGGCCGGCCTCTGCATTGCGCCACAGCCTCAACTGCCTACGACACGGACCTGGCTACCCACGCCACTCTGGTGATGCCGCAGTCTATCGCTTTTGGGCCACTGGGTGAGCTTTACGTGGCGGAGAGCGACTCTCAGCGAATCAACCGAGTACGAGTAATCGGCACGGACGGAAGGATTGCTCCGTTTGCGGGTGCTGAGTCCAAGTGCAACTGCCTGGAACGCGGATGTGACTGCTTTGAGGCGGAGCACTACCTGGCCACCAGCGCCAAGTTCAACACGATCGCAGCCCTGGCCGTCACACCCGACAGTCATGTGCACATCGCCGACCAGGCCAACTACCGTATCCGCTCGGTGATGTCGAGCATTCCGGAGGCCAGTCCCTCACGGGAGTACGAGATATACGCGCCGGACATGCAGGAGATTTATATCTTTAACCGTTTTGGTCAGCACGTATCCACCAGAAACATATTGACGGGAGAGACGACTTACGTGTTCACCTACAACGTAAACACCTCAAACGGAAAGCTGAGCACCGTAACCGACGCAGCAGGCAATAAAGTATTCCTGCTTAGAGACTACACCTCGCAGGTCAACTCCATCGAGAACACTAAGGGCCAGAAGTGCCGTCTCCGCATGACACGGATGAAAATGCTGCATGAGTTGAGCACCCCGGACAACTACAACGTTACATACGAGTATCACGGCCCCACCGGTCTGCTGAGGACCAAGCTGGACTCCACTGGACGCTCCTACGTGTATAACTACGACGAGTTCGGTCGCCTCACCTCCGCAGTGACGCCCACCGGACGTGTCATCGAACTGAGCTTCGACCTGAGCGTCAAGGGCGCCCAGGTAAAGGTTTCAGAGAACGCCCAAAAAGAAATGTCGTTACTGATCCAAGGTGCCACTGTAATCGTCCGCAATGGAGCCGCCGAGTCCCGCACCACCGTCGACATGGATGGTTCCACCACAAGCATCACACCGTGGGGCCACAACCTGCAGATGGAGGTTGCTCCCTACACCATTTTGGCCGAGCAGAGCCCACTACTGGGTGAAAGCTATCCAGTGCCGGCGAAGCAACGCACCGAAATCGCTGGGGATCTGGCCAACAGGTTCGAGTGGCGCTACTTTGTGCGCCGCCAGCAACCACTACAGGCGGGAAAACAGATCAAGGGACCGCCAAGACCAGTGACCGAGGTGGGTCGCAAACTCCGGGTGAACGGAGACAACGTTCTGACTCTAGAGTACGACCGCGAGACCCAGTCCGTAGTCGTGATGGTGGACGACAAACAGGAGCTACTCAACGTGACCTACGACCGCACCTCGCGGCCCATCAGCTTCCGACCGCAGTCAGGCGATTACGCCGACGTGGACTTGGAATACGATCGATTCGGACGCCTGGTCAGCTGGAAGTGGGGTGTCCTACAAGAGGCCTACTCCTTTGACCGCAACGGACGTCTGAACGAGATCAAGTACGGTGATGGCTCGACGATGGTGTATGCATTCAAGGACATGTTTGGCTCACTGCCACTGAAGGTTACCACACCCAGACGCTCAGACTACCTCCTGCAGTACGACGATGCGGGGGCACTGCAGAGCCTAACTACACCTCGTGGCCATATCCACGCATTCTCGCTGCAAACTTCGCTTGGCTTCTTCAAGTATCAATACTATTCACCGATCAACCGACACCCCTTCGAGATTTTGTACAACGACGAAGGTCAGATCCTGGCCAAGATCCACCCACACCAATCTGGCAAGGTGAGTAAAAACTTAAAAACAGTTTAACCAAAAAAACAAAGAAAAAAATATTTATATCCAATCTATAACAACTTACTTACTTTCTCAACTTACTTAATCCGTGCAGGTGGCTTTCGTACACGATACCGCAGGACGATTGGAGACCATCCTCGCCGGATTGTCCAGCACCCATTACACCTACCAGGATACGACCAGCCTGGTTAAGTCCGTGGAAGTGCAGGAGCCTGGTTTCGAGCTGCGACGTGAGTTTAAGTACCATGCCGGCATCCTGAAAGACGAGAAGCTACGCTTCGGCTCTAAGAACTCGCTGGCCTCGGCGCACTACAAGTATGCTTACGACGGAAACGCCCGACTCAGCGGCATCGAAATGGCTATCGACGACAAGGAGCTGCCTACCACGCGGTACAAGTACAGCCAGAACCTGGGTCAGCTGGAAGTCGTGCAGGACCTTAAGATCACGCGAAACGCCTTCAACCGAACGGTGATCCAGGACTCGGCCAAGCAGTTCTTCACCATTGTGGACTACGACCAGCACGGCCGGGTCAAGAGCGTGCTGATGAACGTGAAGAACATCGACGTGTTCCGCTTGGAGCTGGACTACGACCTGCGCAACCGCATCAAGTCCCAAAAGACAACATTCGGAAGATCCACGGCCTTTGACAAGATCAACTACAACGCCGACGGTCATGTGGTCGAGGTTCTGGGCACCAACAACTGGAAGTACCTGTTCGACGAGAACGGAAACACGGTGGGCGTGGTGGACCAGGGCGAGAAGTTCAACCTAGGCTACGACATCGGAGACCGTGTGATCAAGGTGGGCGACGTGGAGTTCAACAACTACGATGCCCGCGGCTTTGTGGTGAAGCGCGGGGAGCAGAAGTATCGGTACAACAATCGCGGACAACTGATCCACTCATTCGAGAGGGAGCGCTTCCAGAGCTGGTACTACTACGATGACCGCAGCCGCCTGGTGGCGTGGCACGACAACAAAGGCAACACCACTCAGTACTACTACGCCAACCCTCGCACTCCGTACCTCGTCACACACGTGCACTTCCCCAAGCTTAGTCGCACCATGAAGCTGTTCTACGACGACCGCGATATGCTCATCGCCTTGGAACACGAGGATCAACGCTACTATGTGGCTACCGACCAGAACGGCTCCCCGCTGGCCTTCTTTGACCAGAATGGCGGCATCGTAAAGGAGATGAAGCGAACTCCCTTCGGCAGGATTATTAAGGACACCAAGCCGGATTTCTTTGTTCCAATTGACTTCCACGGCGGACTCATTGATCCGCACACCAAGTTAGTGTACACTGAGCAGCGTCAGTACGACCCGCACGTTGGACAATGGATGACCCCGCTTTGGGAGACTCTGGCCACCGAGATGTCGAACCCCACAGATGTTTTCATCTACCGTTACCACAATAACGATCCCATCAACCCGAACAAACCCCAGAACTACATGATTGACCTGGACTCCTGGCTCCAGCTCTTCGGCTATGACCTGAACAACATGCAGAGCAGCCGCTACACCAAGCTGGCCCAGTACACGCCTCAGGCATCTATCAAGTCGAACATGCTAGCACCCGACTTTGGGGTTATCTCCGGTCTGGAGTGCATCGTGGAGAAGACCAGCGAGAAGTTCAGCGACTTTGACTTTGTACCCAAGCCGCTGCTCAAGATGGAGCCAAAGATGCGAAACCTGCTACCCCGCGTCAGCTACCGTCGCGGTGTTTTCGGCGAGGGTGTGCTGCTCTCGAGGATTGGTGGACGCGCGCTGGTGAGCGTGGTCGACGGATCAAACAGCGTGGTGCAGGACGTGGTGAGCAGCGTGTTCAACAACTCGTACTTCCTTGACTTGCACTTCAGCATCCACGATCAAGACGTATTCTACTTCGTAAAGGACAATGTACTGAAGCTGCGCGACGACAACGAGGAATTGCGCCGTCTTGGCGGCATGTTCAACATATCAACGCACGAAATAAGCGACCACGGAGGTAGCGCTGCCAAGGAGCTGCGATTGCACGGTCCCGACGCCGTTGTCATCATCAAGTACGGCGTCGATCCCGAGCAGGAGCGCCATCGTATCCTGAAGCATGCCCACAAACGAGCAGTGGAGCGAGCATGGGAGCTGGAGAAGCAACTGGTAGCCGCCGGCTTCCAAGGTCGTGGTGACTGGACCGAAGAGGAGAAGGAGGAGCTCGTTCAGCACGGCGACGTCGACGGCTGGAACGGTATCGATATCCACAGCATACACAAGTATCCACAATTGGCCGACGACCCCGGCAACGTGGCGTTCCAGCGGGACGCGAAGCGGAAGCGCCGCAAGACCGGCAGTAGCCATCGGAGTGCCTCCAACCGGCGCCAGCTCAAGTTTGGCGAGCTGAGTGCGTGAGTGGAGGCGTATAGAGAGAAGCTGGAGGAGGAAATAGAGACGGAGCCGGAGGAGAGTGACATGGCCGACGAGGAGTACGGCGAACAGGAGGACTACCTAATTGCCGTGGGCAAGAAGGAGCCAAGGGACAGCAGCGAGGCACTCGATGAACAGATTTTGTAATTAGGTGAAATGCGCAACAGCGACCACAAGAAGGACAACAGCACAACACACTCGATGACACAACACGACACAAAAGCAAAGAAAAGAAAGGAAAACAAAGAAAAAAGCGAGCATTTAACACACTAATTAATATGAACTTTAATCATGCTTAAAGTTTAGTATTAGCCACAACGCAACCCTCGAATAACCGAAGAAACTTCTTATATGTACACAAGAACAGTAATATGTATGTTGATGTTGAGTTTAGGCTAACAATAGGCGTATGTTTAGTCCATGTGTGTAATGTTTAATGTAATTTTTTAAATCAGAATCAATGTCCTCATGGGCAGCCAGCTTGCACTGGCACAGTACGCTAGGGCGCGTATTATATAGATTGGTACATTAGCCGAGTCAGGTCGAGATAGATTTCTATTGATCAGGTCCAGCCAACAAAGCAGAGTTTGGAGCTTGGGGCTTGGTCAATCGCTGCCCAATTAGCCAGTTGCATTACGATGTCAAACGATGAGTATTACACAGCAAAATATGCATACGATAAGTACAGATGTTAAACTACGAAATGAATAAATGTAAAAAGATTAGAGTTCTCTGTAGTAGCCCCTAGTCCTTGGCCCCCAATCTGGCCCACTCCCACAGAGCTCGTTCTCGAATGCCAACAGAAATGTTGATCACTGCTTAACCTTCTTAATTGCTTTGTGTATATAAGAACGAATACTTTTCCACCCCTTTTCTAACTAACAAGCGCGTGATTATCCTTTAATCTAACACTCTTTTTAGCGAAAAAGTTGTCTGAACCGAATCGAATGCTCGAATTTAAATTATCTGACGCGTCTAGCTATTTTGGATAACCAAGAATCAAAAGGAATTTTATCAGCCCCCTTCAATGCAATACAATACTCTACCGACTCTTTTCACTCATTTTATAATGTTAACTGTTGAATTTATTCAAAGGAAAATGCATTAAAACCTTTTTACAAATTGTGATATATATTTCTAAACATTTCATTTGACAACTTGAAGTGTAAAGAACAAAAATCGAATTAACTCAAATTGAACCGAATATGAAAGCAACCACATGTACTTTACTCATTTTTTTTAATATAGTCCCTTAGATTAGTTTTAATGCTGCAATATTTAGTTCTTACCGTCTGCCATGTTAATTTGTAAAAGCAATACTTTTTTTTAGTAATGTCACATAGAGCTTAGTGTCTCGAATTCTGTTTTTTAACAATAATTGCAGAGTTCAATGCTGATTTTGAAAACATTTCTGTACTCCCTCTTATGTGGCTGACGTTTGGTCGGTATCTTGTGTTTATAATTATTATTGAACTATTTATAACTGAAACTAAACTATTGACTATTGAGATATTAACTAGCATAAAACTTAGTGCGCATAAGGACTTGCGCAGAACTTAAACATACCCCCTATAACCATAAAAACACACCTTGTATTATAAACACCCACACATAACACTAAACTTAGGCGTAAGGATTAGGCTAAAGACAAAGCTCGTAAGAACAGAAAGGATTAGCATCTAACTAAAGTGAAAGTAAGAATTGATTCTGTTTTATGTGAGGAAGGAACGGAAGATTACAGAAGATAACTGCGTAGTAATTAGCTAAAGTGTTAGTAATTTTATTAAATAAAATTATAAATGAGTAATGGATAAACACTTTAACTTAAATTAAGGAATATGCATCATTATCTGAATTCGTTTAATTCTATTGTAAAACTGAGACTGTGTAGTGATTTGAAAATGTAAAGTTTTCGCGCCATTACACAGATTTAGTTCTTACAAACTGACGAATATTGTAAAAATCAGAAATCCGTATATGAATGTGTATGTAATAAAATTAAGCAGCATTATATTAACCAAAAAGCATATAACAAAAGAAAACGATTGAAATCAGCGTAAAGAGAACTGCAATGCGAATAATTGTGACTGAAACAAGGAAAATTAAAGAAACCAAGCGGTTGTCGATTGCCAATGGTCGTCGTCGAGCTCGACTGTGCTTCAATCTCGAATGTACCCCAAGTCCTTTGTTCTGTAAATTTCCAGGCAGGGGAAACAGCTTGCCCTACTTAATTAGTTGAGATCATGATTAGACTTATTAACTGATTGTAACGAAAAACACGACACGTTTGAAAGCAGTTTGAGCATGCATAATTTGCAAGTTGCAACCAATAGTTGTATTCAATGTTCGAAATTGTCTTTAAGATACACAGATATCGAGAGAAGTGCAGAGGGCACAGGCTATAAATTACAAATCGATTGCAGAAAACAAAGGACAATTGTATACACAGAAAATACCTATAATTATGGCAAGCCGATATACATACATGATAAAACATCCATATAAATATATATAATACCTAATAATATTACGAGTAAAAAGCGATTTCAATAAAAATGAAAATATAAAAGCAAACTTTGTATTATTTTATAAGAGAAATTACAAATTAAAAGTAAGTATTATTTAGGGAGTAGTAATCTACTAGTTAATCAATGTACTTTTTGGGGTCGCCATTTAAAACCATAACAATTACCTACCAATATAAACCAATAGGTAAAGTATCTGAGTGCAACACTTTAATTGGAATGTCTCATTTACTTAAAGGAACTTTTAACATATATATACGGGAGCCACAGATTTTCACGTTTTGCGGTGGTTGGAGTGGGCTTGGACGACTGCTGAAATACATATAAGTGTCGGAAACGCTTCCTTCTAGCTGCTTATTTATAATCAACGGATATACAAATTTAGCTGTTTATTTGCGCAGGGTAACTTCTTTCCGATATCATTCTTGTTTCAATTGCAAAAACAAAAATAGATTACTAATTTTGAGTAAACACCATTCAGTTCGTTTATTTCCAACATGAAATAGTAATCTCTGTTTAAACCAGAACAAATAAATATTATTGTTAAAAGACGCTTACAACTTTTTCAAAAAGTTGGCAACGTATATTTTATTTTCGTTTTCATTTAGGCACCAAAGTATACGGATGTTTAATATTTAACTTAAGGTGCGTCCCAAGGGGTTTTCCGTAAAGACAGCATTTCCGGAAGGCTGATTGACGAACTTGGAATAAGGAGCTGGAACTATTTCATAGCCCGCTGACTGTTTCAGTGCATCCTGACTGCGAGATAGAACCAACAGTTTTCCACTAAGATTCTTATCGACAAACTTTAGTTCGGTAATCTTCTTTTGCTGATCCACAACGTGGATATTAAAATTGACTCCATATAGACCAAACAAATGCTCTAGCTCGCTGCGAAGCGTAGGCAGTGATATAACTTCCTTGGTAACGTTGTGCTGCAGAAATAGAGACGCTTTATTGCTGTTTCCGAACCGCGGGATCAAGTCTTCAGTCAAGGTAACATTTAACCAAGGAAGGCTAGGAAGCTGCAGTTCCTCGGTAGAGCAAATGGTCAACTTTAAGGGGACTCCTTTGAGATCAAAAAGCTCACTAGCTATTAACCGTTTCTTGGCAGCCTTTTCAGATGAATACGGACCAAACTCGGACTTAACGGCCGTCTTGATCATACTTGCATAGCTGGCTAACACTTTGGTTAGTTGAGCCTGAGCCTCCAAAGTCTCCTTCTTAGCTTTGTTGTCAGTAGTAAGCTCATGGAAGATAAGAACCGGATCAGTCGGTATAAGTTGAGCCTTCTTCTTCAATTTCTGAACCCGATTAATGACTTCACGAGCCAAACCCTCTTCGAGCAACTCCTCGTTTGGTGTCATGTCCAGCAGAACCAACACATCATTATCGCTGTGGGCTTCAAAGTTTCCTCCCACCTGTTCAGAGGTGCAGTAAATTATACGAACTTCATCAAGTTCAATTCTCTGATCCAAAATGTTGAAGTAGCCCTGTGAAACGTGCTTCTGAATTTCCTCATCCTTTAGGGCTTTGATAGCAGCCATAACCGATTTAAAATTGCCCTTCAGTCTCTGACCGAGCGCCTAAGAAAATATAAATCATTACAATCAAGCATAAAAATAAGGATCTTTTAAACAAACCTTGTGATCAGGCTCTGCTCTCAATGAAACACCGTATTTTTCCTTGTCAGAGCTCAGTGTAAGTTTTCGAACGTTAAGTTCGCTAAGAATGAAGTCCTGCAAGCTCTTAATAGCATCCAACGTTTGTGAATCTTTGTGAATAACTATAATCTCCGAAACAGGATACTTAACAGGCAAGGTTCGTCTATCCCGCATGACACGACCCAATTCGACAACCGATTGCATTAAAGCCACCGAGCGTTCAATATCGCTGCGAATAAACTTGCTCTGGCTGACGGGCATCATTTGATAGTGAACCGAGTCAGCGTGCTCCAAGGATCCTGGTGGCTGGAACAATGCCAACCGCTTGAATATATATTCCGTAAGGTACGGCGTAAAAGGAGCCATCATTTTGACCATTGTGTAGAGAACATCATACAGCGTATCTAATGATTGAATGCATTGCTCAGCTCCCAATTCACCCTTGATGCGACGGCGGTTAAGTCTAACATACCTATAGGATGAAAATACTTTGATTTCTTTAAGAAACTTATTAAAATTAAGGGAACGTACCAGTTTGTTAATTGATCAATGAACTTTGTCAGCCTTGGCACGACAGTGTATAGCCGATACATTTTCATTTCAGTGGCAAAGAACTCCAGTAAAGATTCTTTAAAGGACAAAATCCAAACATCAATAACGGATGCCTTGTCCATATTCTTTAAATGCCGTTCACGATCATAAGTGTATTGACCCTTTCCTCCCAAGTCCTCCTTCTCATACCGGACAATATTTTGCAGCAAGAACCGGTATGCGTTGTACCAGGGCAAGAACACATCCTTGATGATGTCTCGCACTCCTTCTTCCTTAAAACGCAGGCTCTCTGCCCTTACTACAGGTGAATTGATAAGATACAGTCGGAGGGCATCAGCTCCATATTTATGGACCACCTCCATAGGATCGGGATAGTTCTTCTTGCGTTTTGACATCTTCTGACCATCTGCAGCCAAGACCAAGCCGCTGGCAATAAGGTTCTTGAAAGGCGCTTTGTTAAACAGTGCCGTCGAAATCACAAGGAGTGTGTAGAACCAGCCGCGGGTCTGATCTATGCCCTCTGCTATGAAGTCGGCCGGGAAGTTGTTCATAAAGTCCTTCTCGTTTTCGAATGGGAAGTGCTGTTGTGCGAACGGCATAGAGCCGGATTCGAACCAGCAGTCAAATACAGGAGCTATGCGACGCAGTGGAGGATTTCCGGGAATTGCGGATGGAATTTCAATGTGATCGATGCTTTCGCGATGCAAATCCTCAACCTGAACTCCCGATAGCTCAGCCAGCTGCTTTATGCTGCCAATAACAACGGTCTCATCCCCATTGGGCGACCTCCAGATGGGAATGGGAGTACCCCAGTACCTATTACGGGAGATCTAAGGAATTGATTTTTAATTAGTAAGAACTTGATAGTATCTAACTTTACTATACTCACAGCCCAATCTCTAGCTTCTTTTAACCAGTTGCCAAATCGTTTTTCCTTGACGAAGTCGGGCACCCAGTACGTTTGGGAACTGCAGTCCAGCAGATTTTTCGACATGTGTTCGACACGGACAAACCAGGATGGAACAGCCTTGTAGATTAGCGGAGTATCTGACCGCCAGCAGAAGGGATAACTATGCTTAACCTGGCCACTGGACACCAAGTTGCCCCGTGTCTTCAACGCTGCCATGATTTGCTTGTCAGCATCCTTGACGTATTGGCCCTCGAAATCGCATGCCTCCTTGGTAAACCTTCCCGCTTCGTCAACAGGGCAGAGAACTTCGCTGGATTTTGTGATCAGTCCCGCCGCCAGGCACACGCGGTAATCGTCCTCTCCGAAATACGGAGCATTGTGAACAATACCCGTACCGGAATCCTCAGTGACGTACTCGTCGACCAAAACGCGGTAAGCCTTAACTTCGGCACCACGTTTCGCAAAGTACGGAAATAGTGGCTTGTAGTGCAGATCCTTAAGAGTCTTGCCCACAAACTTCTCCTTAACCTCGTACTCTTCCTCCGATTTGTAGACGTAGGAAAGGCGGGATTCTGCGAGAATAAAGAGCCTGTCACTCTTCACGTCGCGCACTTTCACATATGTCATCGTCGGGTGGACGCAGCATGCAAAGTTTGAGGGCAGTGTCCAGGGGGTTGTTGTCCAAACCAGGAAAAAGGTGTTCGGCTGCGAAACTGCTTCCAGGGCGACCACCACACAGGGGTCCACGACCTCCTTATAGTTTTGGTTGGCCTCGAAGTTAGACAGTGATGTGGTACAGGCAGTGGAATATGGCATAACCTTCACACCCTGATAGACCAGTCCCTTATCGAATAATTGCTTAAAGATCCACCAAATGGACTCCATGTACCATGGGTACAAGGTCTTGTAATCGTTTTTGAAATCAATCCACCGACCCACGCGCGTCACCACGTTTTCCCACTCATCCGCGTACCGCATAACGATCTTGCGGCACTCGGCGTTATAGGCTGCTATTCCCATCTTGGCCACGTCCTCGGGTCCTCGGATGTTCAACAGCTTGTCGATCTCGAACTCCACTGGCAGCCCATGGCAATCCCAACCGAAACGACGGTCCACATGGTATCCCTGCTGGTAGGCGTACCTGGTGACAATGTCCTTGATGGTGCCGGCCAGGATGTGTCCATAGTGAGGAAGCCCGGTGGCGAAGGGCGGTCCATCGTAGAACGTATATCTGGGTGACACATTAGAGCAGAAGTTAGCAAATGGCTGATGCAATCGGATCCATCACTTACTTCGGCTTTCCCTTCGACAACTGGCTGCACTTTTCGAAGATTTTTTCGTCACGCCACTGCTGCAGTACGTTCTCTTCCTCGGCCGGGAAATTGATGTTCTCCGGCACCCGGCAAACGTCGTTGCGCTCCAGTTTCTTTCCCATAGCTGTCGATTTCACTGTTAAATTACTTATCCACTCACTACACTTATTCACCAACCTTTTATATCAGAAATCAAACCAATTTGCAGCGATTTTGCGTGGCACACAACGTGCGAAACTACTGGTTCAGGATTTTATTCGATATTCATCGGCCGCTGCTATCGATAGTTAGGTGTGAGGACCGGCAAGTCCGGTTATCAGCTGACAAATACACTAAGGAAAAAGTGTTATTTAAAATAAATTATCTTATACACCATTTCGATTTTAAGATATTCGATTAGATAACACTAAAACTTAACGATTGAAAAAAATATTAAAATGTTAAGAATTGATTCTTAAACAATTACATTATATTACATATTATTTAGTAAACGAATTGTAATGAAGCCATATGAATTGGTAAATCATAATCTTAAAATGAATACTTTATAAAATGTATGATATACCCAAATAAAGGAAACCATTGAAGAAAGAAAAACCGCCGAAATTCTAGCTACCGTTTATCGATAATGATACATCAGTACAATCAAGCCTTCGCTCGTCACTAACCTGAAAATAAGAAGAAGAGTTATGTGTACACTTTTGTATAGCTCTTTTTTGGCCAATTTAACTATCGAAATACAATAAGTAACAGACAGATTACGGCTTATCGCACAGTAAAAAAGTACGCCAGCACACACTTGTGTTCTGGGCTTCACCGGGAACCCGCGTTCAGCCACTCGACCTCGCTTACAGTCAGCGGATATGGCACGCCCAATTTTTCCAAACCAGCAGAAGATAGCTGAAAAACTAATCATCTTAAATGACCGCGGTCTGGGCATTTTGACTCGGATCTACAACATCAAAAAGGCCTGCGGCGACACTAAATCAAAGCCAGGCTTCCTCTCTGAGAAATCTCTGGAGTCAAGCATTAAGTTTATCGTAAAGCGGTTCCCCAACATCGACGTAAAGGGTCTGAATGCCATTGTGAACATCAAGGCGGAAATAATAAAGTCGTTATCGTTGTACTACCATACATTCGTTGACTTGCTGGACTTTAAAGACAATGTCTGCGAGCTGCTCACCACGATGGACGCCTGCCAGATTCACCTGGACATCACACTGAACTTCGAGCTGACCAAATACTACCTAGACTTGGTAGTGACGTACGTGTCCCTGATGATCGTTTTGTCTAGAGTTGAGGATCGCAAGGCAGTGCTGGGCCTGTACAATGCCGCCTATGAACTGCAAAATAACCAGGCTGATACGGGCTTCCCTCGTCTTGGACAGATGATCCTTGACTACGAGGTTCCCCTTAAGAAGTTAGCCGAAGAATTCATTCCCCACCAGCGCTTGCTAACAAGTGCGTTACGCTCGCTGACCTCCATATACGCACTGCGAAACCTGCCCGCAGACAAATGGAGGGAGATGCAGAAGCTGAGTCTAGTGGGCAATCCAGCAATACTTCTCAAAGCTGTGCGCACAGACACCATGTCTTGCGAGTATATCTCATTGGAGGCAATGGACCGCTGGATAATTTTCGGCCTTCTCCTTAATCACCAAATGCTTGGCCAGTACCCAGAGGTCAACAAGATCTGGCTGTCCGCTCTGGAGTCCAGCTGGGTTGTGGCACTGTTTCGCGACGAGGTCTTGCAAATTCACCAGTACATTCAGGCCACCTTTGATGGAATCAAGGGCTATAGTAAACGAATCAGCGAAGTCAAAGAAACCTACAATACGGCTGTCCAAAAAGCAGCTTTAATGCATAGGGAGCGGCGCAAATTCTTGCGAACTGCCTTAAAGGAGCTAGCACTTATAATGACGGACCAACCAGGCCTTTTGGGACCAAAAGCCATATTCATTTTTATCGGTCTTTGCTTAGCTCGCGACGAGATCCTCTGGCTACTGAGACACAACGACAATCCGCCGCTGCTGAAGAACAAAGGTTAGTATACTGCTATATTTATAAATATCGTGTAATCACGGAGTCTTTTTTATAGGGAAAAGCAATGAGGATCTGGTAGACCGTCAGCTGCCGGAGCTTCTCTTCCATATGGAGGAGCTGCGGGCTTTGGTGCGAAAATATAGCCAAGTAATGCAGCGCTACTACGTGCAATACTTATCTGGCTTTGATGCCACGGATCTGAACATCCGTATGCAGAGCCTTCAAATGTGTCCGGAAGACGAGAGCATAATTTTCAGCTCGCTCTACAACACAGCCGCAGGCCTGACCGTAAAGCAGGTGGAGGATAACGAGCTGTTTTATTTTCGGCCATTCCGACTAGACTGGTTCCGGCTTCAAACGTACATGAGCGTCGGCAAGGCTGCCCTTAGGATCGCAGAACATGCAGAACTGGCCCGCCTTTTGGATTCAATGGTTTTCCATACTCGCGTGGTGGATAATTTGGATGAGATACTAGTAGAGACGTCGGATCTGAGCATCTTCTGCTTCTATAACAAAATGTTTGACGACCAATTCCACATGTGTTTGGAGTTCCCCGCCCAGAATCGTTATATTATAGCCTTTCCCTTAATCTGCAGTCATTTTCAAAACTGTACGCACGAGATGTGCCCAGAGGAGCGTCACCACATACGAGAACGGTCTCTCAGCGTGGTTAACATCTTCCTTGAGGAAATGGCCAAGGAGGCTAAAAATATTATAACCACAATTTGCGACGAACAATGCACCATGGCAGACGCTCTATTGCCCAAACACTGTGCTAAGATCTTGTCCGTACAATCTGCCCGTAAAAAGAAGGACAAATCGAAGTCGAAGCACTTCGATGACATTCGAAAGCCGGGCGACGAGTCGTACCGAAAGACACGTGAAGATTTGACGACAATGGACAAGCTGCACATGGCATTGACAGAGCTATGTTTCGCCATTAACTATTGCCCTACTGTCAACGTTTGGGAGTTTGCTTTCGCTCCTCGCGAGTATCTATGCCAGAACTTGGAGCACCGCTTCTCCCGCGATCTTGTGGGCATGGTAATGTTCAACCAAGAGACTATGGAGATCGCCAAGCCCTCAGAGCTGTTGGCCAGCGTTCGAGCCTACATGAATGTGCTGCAGACCGTGGAGAACTACGTACACATAGACATAACACGAGTATTTAACAACTGCTTGCTACAGCAAACGCAGGCTTTGGACTCCCACGGTGAAAAGACTATCGCCGCTTTGTACAATACTTGGTACAGTGAAGTCTTACTAAGGCGAGTATCCGCCGGCAACATTGTGTTCTCCATCAACCAAAAGGCATTCGTACCCATTTCCCCCGAAGGCTGGGTACCCTTCAACCCCCAGGAATTCTCCGATCTAAACGAGCTGCGAGCACTTGCCGAACTCGTGGGACCCTACGGAATAAAAACATTAAACGAAACACTTATGTGGCACATAGCCAACCAGGTGCAGGAGCTAAAGTCACTGGTGGGCACCAACAAGGAAGTGCTCATCACACTGCGCACCAGTTTTGACAAACCAGAGGTAATGAAGGAGCAGTTTAAGCGGTTGCAGGACGTGGACCGAGTGCTCCAGCGAATGACGATCATTGGGGTGATAATTTGCTTCCGCAATTTGGTGCACGAGGCTCTCGTTGATGTGTTGGACAAACGCATACCCTTCCTGCTTAGCTCTGTGAAGGATTTCCAAGAGCACTTGCCTGGAGGGGACCAGATTCGTGTGGCCTCTGAGATGGCATCAGCAGCCGGCCTGCTATGTAAGGTGGATCCCACACTGGCCACTACGCTAAAATCGAAGAAGCCCGAGTTCGATGAGGGCGAGCACCTTACTGCCTGCCTGCTAATGGTCTTTGTGGCCGTCTCTATACCAAAACTTGCCCGTAACGAAAACTCCTTCTACAGGGCCACAATCGATGGCCACTCAAACAACACGCATTGCATGGCGGCGGCCATCAATAACATCTTCGGTGCGTTGTTTACCATCTGCGGGCAGAGCGACATGGAGGACCGTATGAAAGAGTTCCTTGCTCTGGCCAGTTCCTCCCTGCTCCGCTTGGGTCAGGAATCCGACAAGGAGGCTACTCGAAACCGAGAATCCATTTATTTGCTGCTAGACGAAATAGTAAAGCAATCACCTTTCCTCACAATGGATCTTCTGGAGTCCTGCTTCCCCTACGTTCTCATACGCAACGCGTACCATGGCGTTTACAAGCAGGAACAGATCTTGGGACTGGCGCTCTAAGGAATGCGATGACCTGCACCTTGTGTGTATTCCGAATATTGCTTATGTAGTTTATACACCGGTCGACTGTCGATCACTATGCTAATCTAATATACTTTAAAACTGTTAAACATACCCTAATGTATTCTAGACTCTGCATTTTTATACTCGTAAAACTTCGAATAAAGTGCTTATGTAAACCAAAACTCTCGACAAATAGTTTATCTCTTGATCGGTATGTATATTCTTTATTTCGGCTTATTGAAATACTATATGTGCCCACATCCTAGAACGCTTAAGTTTCTTTTACATTTCATTGGGACACATGCGCACATGTGTGTGTATATTAAATATGTGTTAGGGGAAAAATCTTCCTCAATATTAAATTATTTGGTCACGTTCAATATTACTTTGTAGGCTTGTGTACAAATACATGTAGGCAAGTAGTAAAATATGATTTCGTTTTGGTAATGTGATTTCTCCATAATTATCATTGGTAGTATTTTAATTCGATCTTGGGTTTTCAATTCCGATACAAAGATGTTAATGCAATGCTTTTTAACTGTTTTTTGTTTTATTTGTGTGGTCTGGGATAGTTTCTATTTAACTCATGATGAGCACCATCATGAATATTTCTCTAACTTATGGATATTGCAAACTGAAATCTGATGGGAAAACACTGCTCTCAAATGCCACATCCAACTTAGGCTTACGAATCTACAATAAGTTTCGGTTAAATGTACCAAAATCACTACTCGCTGCTAAAAAGCTGTCAATATTTAAATTTTCATCTTTACTGTGTTGAACATTCTCGATATCTACAATTGGGGTTCGTTAATTATACACACACCATTTATTTTTTATAGAAGGTATTTTAAATTATGTGATGCTGAATATTTTTCTAGTTCGTATAATTTATTTAGCATGATTCATTTGTTTGTTATTCGGTTTCGCATGAAAATGTATTCCTTTTCAGTCAGTCAGTTTAGGCATCTGTTGACTTAAAAATTGTCGTCATTGTCTTTTGGTTTTGTTTTGTTTTGGTTTTTGTTTTTGTTTCACTTGTTTCTCATTTAATAAAAAATATATATATGTATGTATATACTTATATGCACGTTGTTGAAATAAAAACTTGAAAAACTTTCTTACGTTTGCTGTCGTCGTTAAAAATAAAATCGCTTCTTTAGTAATTACATTTTAAAGCTCTCGAGTACAAAAATTAAAAAGCTTAAAAAATTCCACGCGGATCCTCTCCTCCTCCTCGCCGTATATCATATCGTAGGTGTATAAGGTGTGTCTGTCGAGTCCTTTAATGCTAACTTTCTCTTCGGATTTCCTGCTAACGTACATATTATATATTATTTCTCTTTATGACAATTGTTTGCATATAAAAGTTAAGCCTAGAAATACAATACGAGTACGAAGTACGTATGTTATGTATGTATTATTTAAGTGTGCCTGTGTCTGTAGTCTCTCTAGCTGCTTCCCGACTTCCTCGGCCTCCTAGACGAACTCCTCTTGCTCCAGCCACGGATGCTGCAGGCATTCGGCTGCCGAAGCGCGTATGACAGGATTGTACTCGAGCATCGGCAGGAGAAAGTCGGAGAACTTTTTGGCCTCCACCGGATCCCAGTCGTACTTCTCCACCAGCACGTTCATCAGACTCCAGGGCTTCAACTTGGTGATGTTCCTCAGGCTGCCTGCAATATGAAAACAAAGGAGCGTTTAACAGTCAAGAATCGAATTTGATCTTTCAATACTCACCATAGCTGGTGAAGTACTTGAGACCATGTTTGCCCCGCAGGATCACCGACTGCGGTATGGAGCCCAGCAGCTCGACAATGTGAGCCAAGTGGTCCTCATCTCTACTGTACGACTCGCCTGCATGAGGGTCAAACAGATAGTCGCCCGTGGCCAGTTCAAAGGCCAGACAGGCGGTGCTCCAGATGTCGGCGGTATAGTTGTACGGAGCTCCTAACAGAACCTCTATCGATCGATACTGGCGCGTTTGGATGTCCTCAGTGAAGTGGTGGTACTAGGAAGGAAGAAATCGTAAAAAATATTTTTTTAATTATTATTTTATTTAAATTAAATTAACAACAATGACAATTTTGACATTTATAATAGACTAAATAATTATTATATGTGAGAACGGTCGAAATAAATTATTGAAATAACATTTAAATAAATAAATATATTACTAAAAAATAATATTTTATTTTATTATTATGAATTAAGTTTTACTGCTATTAAAACATCTCAGTTCATATATCTCAATCTTTTGGGTTCAACGACTTTTAAGAAGTAAACAAAAGTGTTGCATGAATTAAGGCGCAAAAGGGTTCGACTAAATCAAGTTAATTCTTTTTTTAATTCGTGTAAATTAAATAAATATGTATATATATATATATTTATATTATATTAAATTAGTTTACGACTTCTTAAAAAAATATTGTTCAACAATGAGTACTGGTAAATAAATAATAATCTTTGATATATAAACGTATACTTTAACTTAATCTTAAGTTAAACTTATTCCTATATAGTATTAAAAACCTATACAAGCTGATAGAGGAAGGAATGAAAAATATATTAAAAAGCGAACCAAGCTCTATTAGTAATAAAATCAAGCATAGGTATTGACGATAAAAAAGATATTCGAACTCAAGCCGATTATTATTGTGGGACAAACTCTTTTACGCGGTGATGCCTAGCTCTTATATTTTCCTTGATAACGCTGAGGTTATTACGGACATGCGCACACACAGACGACTTTGCTATTGTCTCTTATCAAGAATATTAAACACCTTATAGAGTTGGAAACACTTTCTTTTCTACCTGTTGAATACTTTTCAAAGAGTAAAAGGTATTAAATAACTTATTTAAGTTTTATCTAACTAATCTAAAGAATTTGTAACCAGATACTCACCTCGTAGCAGGCATTCCCCAAATCGGCGATCTTCACGCGGACATTACTGTTGTTGATGAGCGACTGGATGGTGTAGGTGTTGTTCTGGCTACTCTGACTTTGGTTCTGCGAAGGAATGGCATTGGCATTGACATTTAGTTTAGCGATTGTTGTAGTCGTTGTCGTTGTTGTTGTTGTTGTCGCGGAGGATAGCACATTGGTTGTTGTTGTTGATGATGTCGATGTGCTTGTTGTTGTATGATCGCCATTATGGAGCTCAGAGCTTGCGGCTGTTGTTGTACAGGTTGTACTGGTAGTTGGAGCTGTAGTGGTGGGAGCTATAGGCGTGAACGAGGTCGTGCACGTGCTAGGGGGCGTGGCAAAGGCGAAGGCGTTGGCGGAGGAGGGAGTGGCACTTGGAGGGGCGGAAGTGGAGATAGTGTTTGCACCGCTGTTGGTACTTGTGTTCGGGTTGGTGAGACTGTATTTGTTGGGCAAGGACGTGCACGTGCTGAGAATATTCGGGTTGATCTTGGTCTCTATCGTGTTGGTGTTGTGGAAGAGACAGGAGCTATTGGTGGAGTTCGGGGTGGGCAGCTGCATCGTGTGTACAAGCGTAATGTTGCATATAAATTGGTTCACACAAAGAAAGGAAGAAAAAGAATACACAATGTTGGTTTGCTTCTTTGAAGGTTTCACTAGTTGGTGCAAGTAACGAAACACAAACTAGGTGGAGCTCAGGGCTGGGATTGTCTGGCGAAATCCCAGCGGTGATTTCCACTGATTAATATCCCAATGGACACTCTATTTGGGATTTCATAAAAATATACAAATGTAAGTACGACATTGGTTAGAGCGACAACGGCTTAGCGAAAACACATTTAATTCATACAGCAGCGGTCAAAGAAATGTCTAGTTAAATATGTATATTGGTTAAAAAGTATTTGTATTTAACTGTGAAATTACTCTCTAATTCATTAATGGTTAATTCTACTTTACTCCATATGCATCCTCGTTTTTACATTGAATTCAATTCAAAGAAACTAAAGTTGTTAATCAGAGGTTTAATTTATTTAACAACTCTTTTTGTTATATAAAATAGGCAATCACAATCTACTACATCTACTATCACAGAACTTTGACCGCATCTGCATATAAACACATTAAGTAAAATATACAATTAGCAGCAGGTGGCAATATAAACGGTAAGCATTTGGACATAATCCGTTGCACAAACATCTAAAGCTGGCCATGCCCACAATCAAACAAGCACTTGGCTTTTCGTTCCAGGATAAGATTGCCAAGAGAAAGCGTCAGGGATCAGTGTGGGTGTGGGTCAGTAAACGTGAACTCAAGAGCGGTAATCAAAAACGGTAAATAACCAGCAGCAAGGCAGAAGTTCCCCTCTTAAGAAATCAAATACATCAAAGTTGAACGGTTCTAGGGAACGGGCTACCACTAGCGACTATCTCACATCCAAAACCCCTTTACCTCTATGCCCTTGGTCGGACTAGCATCAGGTTCGGGCTCAGGCTCTGGATCGGGATCGGTGGGCGTATCGACGGTGCTCGCCAAGGTGCTCTGCTCGCCCAGCGTGTCGGAATTGGCATCTTCCTCATAATCCCCGGAAGACTATTTCGAGTGTCAAACCAAAGACAATGATAACGCGAAAATAAAAGAAAACAAAAGTAATACATAAGAATTTCGTGTTCCTTTGGTGTGCAGTGTGGTTTGGCAGGTGGATTCACAATAAGAAGAGTGCAAATGCTTTCCATGCACCACAACGGGTAATCCTGGCCAGAGCTTTCAAGTGTGGGGCAGGGGCAGGGGCGACTGTGGATCTGTGAACCTGAAAACCCAGCATAAAAACGAACTCACCTTGGCAGTGATTTTCTTCTCGGTTCGGTATCGATTGTTCAGGTTCGACGATCCGCCGAGGCCTCCGTTGCACTCACTGTCTCCCAACAGACTGGAGTATTTGGAGGCCAGCGAGGATGTGGTGTTGGAATTGAGCGTGGACGAGGTGGTGGTGGTGTCCTCTTTGTCCAGCGAGGACATGATTACGGCTGCCAGCGGAGTCGACGAATTGGAGTTGTTCGCCGTGCTGTTGCTGGTGTTCGTGTTGGTGTTAGTCGACCCGTTCGGTTCGATCAGTGGCCATTTGGCCCGCGACTTGGTCTGCTTCTCAATGGAACTGACTGTTATAGGGACGAATATGCATCAATGAATTTCATTGATAATAATAACATTACGCATACTTACTGTACGAGTCGGGGAAGTCAGCTCCCTTCACCCGCAGACTGTTGATCTCTTCGTCAATCTGCTGGTTCATCGCGGCAGCATTGTCGATCACCAGCAGGATGTTTTCCGGCTTGATGTCCGTATGGATGATGCTGCACTTGCTGTGCAGGTAATCCAGACCCTCCAGCACCTGGCGGATTATGTTGCGCACCTGGACGATGGCTAGACCTTGGTAGTTGTTCTTCACGATCAGCTTGTACAAGCTGCAGCCGAGAGCTTCGAAGACCAGGCAGGTGTGCATCCCGTTAACTCCGCGCACTGTAAAATGGTTCATCAGCCGCACGATCCGCTCCCGCTTGACGTCCATAGGGTCAGCATCGCGGATAGCCTCCAGCAGTCTGATTTCGTCTGCAGCCGTCTCTATGTAGTGCGGAGCACTCTTAACAACCTTGAGGGCCACGTACTTTTCGTCTCTGCGGAAAACCTAAGATGTAAGGAACTCCATCGTATAGGAAGGTTTTCCTAACTCACTTGAGATCCCGGCAAAGCCAGACAGTGGAAAAGTGGCCCCAGCCAAGTTTTCTTACCACGCGAAACCGATTGTCAAAGATATCCCCTATGACCACCGGATGGTAGCCACCACGGCAATACTGAGAGGCGTCTTCCTGCTCCTCGTCCGAAACGTAGAGACTGCTGTCCGACGAGTCCGGGTAGATTTCGTCAGTCGTGCTCAGGGTCCCGCGGGGCTCCGATCTGAAAAGAGATAGGATGGGGGATTGTCCAGATTAGCTATCACTATTGAAAATATTCGGGTAATATATAATAACAGTCTATGTCCCCAAAAACCCACTTAAATTCGTGATGTTCCGCTTCCTCTTCCTTGACCGGCTCTGCAAACTGGGGCAGCTTGATAGTTAGAGGCTGTTCCCGAGGCGGCAAATAAGTGTCCAATATCACTTCTCCCGGGGTAACTGGTTCGAAGAGCAGAGCTACGTGGCGGTGATGATTCGGCCGCTTGGACTGATGGCGCAAGGCAATGAGAATGGGACCGGCTGAGACACAGTTCCGCTTCTTGGTGAACCGCTTGCGCCGCTTTTTTTCCTCCACTTCCAGCAGAGCCTCAGTGGCCGCCTCCTGGGCAGCCCGCATTTCCTGCTCGGAGACGAAGTTGAAGTCGCAACTTAGCTCTTTGGCCACGTCTGTTGTGGCGTTCAGTGGCTGCTCGGGTCCACCCCCGCAGCTCCAAAGGCGAAGGAGGTGCATCAGGAATAGGAAGAGTAGCAACAGGCTGCCCTGCAGCACACCCATGAAGATCGGATCCTGCGCGAGTGTGGACAGGATGTGGAGGCTTAGCTGCTGCAGCCTGCCGGCATGTAATACGAGAATCTGGAGGCGGTGCACGTAGGCGGAGTAGAGATCCAACCAGTGGTTTAGCAGGCTTGCCTGCCACCCAAGACCCAACGTGGCATTGGCCTCCAGGGGGCAGATGGCCTGTTCCAGACCGGCGTTTGCCACCCAGCCATCCATTTCTGACTCGCTTCACTGCTCTATTCGACAATTGGATATCCGACTAGGCATTTGCGCGTTCATGGCCCACGGGTGCAGTAACGGGGGGTGGCAGTGGGCATGCGTGTGGGCGGGCGGCGACCTTGACTTTTCTATGCCCCCACTTGCATCACGGACACCCGCCGAACGAGTTTGGTCGAAGCACAAACACTGCGCTGCAAACACACCCCTTATATAACAATGGCCCGTACGGGGTAAATAAATAAAATGTATCGCACGGCGGAAAAATCTGAATTATGAAAAGTATCTGTATCTCTGTATCTGCGCGAGTATCTTTCCTCGCCCGTCCGATTCGTTCAGTAGCGTCCGCGAGAATGTCGAAATGGTTTTTCGCTTTTGTTTTTGCCGCCTCTTCCTGAGCGGCCAAGGCGCAGTCGTTTCCAACTCGCGCGAGTATTTTCTGTTATTTCTGTTCTGTTTTTTTTTGTCACAACTAAGTTTAGTGTTCGTCAGCTCCCCCTCCCCCACTCTGCTCTTCCCACCGGTTCCACGGTACCGTAAAGTGTGACTGTGTGCGGATCACCTAGAGTCCGTGCCCACCGATAGTTTTCCGTAGAGTGGTACATTGAGAGAAATCCGAAATGGGCTTATTTATTTTGGAAAACTTTCTTCTCGGCAATTACATTTCAGTCACGATTAACAAGAAGGAACGCTACTCACTATCTGTTAATCTTTCTTTCACTTCATTAACTATATTAACAAGATATATTTGTATTATATTAGAGAATCGGAAAATTAAATTTTCTTTTTAAGTCATTGCACTAGTAAAATGCTGTGAAAATTTAGTTAACATCCATCCCATAACTTCTATCGGTAGCAACCGCCAAGTATTTTTCTCAAAGTGTCATTGGAGTTTGTATTGATGGTTTGAGAGTTCAGGGACTACACCGTATAAGTTAAACTCTAACAGCATTACATTCTTTTTATTTATTATATTATTTAATATATAAGTTAGTCTTACGGTTGGCAAAATGTAATTCAAATAGAAAGTACCACGCATCCCGTTTAACAGGGAAAAACATTTTATTGATATTTGAGCTTAAAAGCCAGAAAACTAAAGGCATTTTCCGCTGTGTATATCTCGGGCGTCATTATCCAATGTACTTCATCAAGTCGATGTCGTTGTCGTCGTCGTTCGGCGCCTTTGCCGGTCATGGACTGCACCACACAAGGAAAGAATCCGCCACACGGACACACACATGCGGGCCCATCAACATCAACATCATCATCGAGTTCCTCGAGATTTCTTAGGCACGGTGCCAAGTTTGCCCTCGCTTGTGCAAAAGGGGTGTTCAACAAGCAGGATTTCGAATACCTCGAATTCCAGAAGGTTTCGAAACCACAACGAAAAGTAGTTTCGAGAGTTCGGGTGCGATTGAAAAATTCCTCAGAATGCAACTGCACCCTGCCGCCCGCACTCGTATGCAAATGTTTAGGTTCAGAAAATGACTAACCAGACTTTATTGATTTTTGCAACCCCGACCCACTCGTCTTTGATCCTTATGGAGCTGTGTCGACTCCTTTAAAGCGTAAAGCTCGCCTCCTGAGTCACCCTATGTCTCGCACAAGAACACGCCTTCTCGACGCTGCCTCCTCCATATTATTATTTATAGACGCCGAAAGAAGTGAACAAAAACAATAAGTTTATGCGAAAATCAGTTCAAAAACACAGCATCTAGAGGCAGGGAAACGTCATCGTTTTGCTCGATTGCAGATAATTCTGTGGGATTGTCGGGGTGGCTAAGAGTGCTGGGGTACGTATGTAGGGGATGTGGGTTAGGGGGTGCTCATCGGTTAGCCACTGGCGTCACGTGGTGCCTACTTGCGGTTAAGGCAAATTAAAAACGTAAATAAACCGAGCGGACTGAGTGGGGGCCGAGGGGCTTTGGATTACGAATGGGTGGAGGGCAATGGGAGTTCGCTTGGCACCACAATTGGGAAAACTGTGCCACACAGTAAGTGTATTGAATTCTTATCCCATTTGATTTTGGCGCACTGTGGAACCGAGCGGATCAGCCAAAAGTTCTCCACCTTGCTTATTCGACACCTTCCAGGGCCCACTGTGCAGGCACAGTGGGAACAGGAGCAACTGTCCCGACCGGCGACACAGATATCAGAGCTGCTCGTTACACTTCGGTGAATTTATCGGCTACATTCGTATGTACGTATGTGAGAGACACGTGGAACACACGGAGCATATACTTGATTTTCATAATTTATCCGCTTGTGAATGAAGTGAATGACAAAGAAAAAAGAAGCTAGTATGACCTATGTTTGTATACCCTAAGGGAGGGGAATGGGCTATCTTTCCAATTAGACCGGTTATAAAAAATATTATTTCAGGGTATTATTTATTATTATACTTTCTGAACAGAAATTGCTAACTATTTTTGGTTAGTCAATGCTTTCTAAATCGGTGTTATGCAATAGCTCAAATTACTGATGTATTGATAAGTAAGTGAAATTTAAAGAAATGAAAGCCTGAACTAGTTTCTAATTTATAAAGAAATTTAATATGTTGTGTGCATGCTATCACATAAGATCCTCGTAAATCTCTTAAAGAGTATACAGTATGTTCACAGTAGGAACGAAGGAGTTTTCAGAGTAGTAAGTGGTATAGTAGTAGTGACAGCTGATACCCATTATTCGTTATATTATGTTCATTCGAAAATAGACAGAAACGATCTGGATCAGTTTTATTGGCTTGTTATTTTAAAACCGAATTAGTTGGAACTATTTCTTTCTAAAAGATTGCATAACTAACAGCATGCATTTTTTATTATTCTTCTTTATTAGCTTTCTTAGTGAAGATTTTAATTAACAATTTTTAAGACATCATTTTAAAGAAACTTCCAGACAATCGTAAACGTTTATTGGCAAAATAATAACTTGTCATAACTGCAAGGGTTTTGAAAACAAATCATTATTTTAGAAACAGCTCAGATCCCTTATAGGGTAACCAAAAAATTATAGAATTTTAATTTTTTTAGGCATTTCAAGTGGTTGAATCCAATTAATAAATAGTATAATTAAATAAGTACAACATTTATGATAGCACGACTGCCGGAATACTCACAGGCTGACAAAAGGACCGCGCAGAGCCGGCATGTCCCGGCGTCGGTTGAGCGGCGGGGAAAGCGACAACGAGAGGAAGTCCTGCTGGGCCTTGTCCTCGTCCACGATGCTTGTCGGGGTGCTGTAGATGCGCGTCGTTGGCAGGTAGCCAATCTGCTGCAAGAAGTCGTCGCGGTAAGAGAGCTTGGTGGTTGACTGTGAGGAGGTCAGCGGCAAAGACAGTGGGGATCCGTAGAGCGGCGCCAGAGGCAGGGCCGCTGACATCGTGGCCAGCGAGAGCGGCTGCTGGTAGTGTCCTGTACCGGTTCCAGATGATCCCGTTCCCGTAACCGATCCCGGCACCGCGCCTGATCCCGCTACAGTGCCATTTCCATGGTGGTGCAGGTGAAGGTGGTGAGGCGTCGTGGCCGCATGTTGTGGAACATTAAAGTGCGGATAGGGGACTCCGTGGGCGTACGCAGGAGCTCGCGACAAGTAGGGCGGGGTGATGATCTTGTCGTCGAAGCTGCGCCGGAAGCTAAAGCCCTTCAGGGAGTTGCTGTAATTGCGATGCGATAGGGGCGAGGTGCCCAAGTCGATGCTGGCCGCCGGACCTAGGATCCCAGCGGTGAGTCCTCCTCCGGCTGAGCTGCTGTTGCCGCTGGAGGTTGCTGTGGCGCTACCCAGCATACTTAAAGCTGGAGAGGTGCGCAGTTGGGGGCTGCCACCGCTTCCACCCACTCCACCCCCAGCACCCGATGCTGTCGTAGTCGCGGTGGAGAGCGGAGGAGAAATGGCACTCAGCGTGGAAATGCCGCTGTCACTACTGCATATGCCGGCCGGCAGGGACGTGTGGGTGGGCGAGATGAGATGTGGATGGTGGTGCTTGCCGTTGGCGGCGCCGACGAGGCCGGCCATGCCGCTGCTGGGCAGTACGGGCGCCAGGATGCCTCCGCAGTACTCCGCCCGAAAAGAGTTTCCTGGTCTGCGCGGGGCAGGTCCTTCGCCTAGTCCTGTTGACTATTGAGCAGAGGCAGCTAGAGGCAGCTTCCTCGCGTTTTTGTCATCATCGCTGGCCTGCGTCCTTTGCTCCTTGTTTGGTGTTCGCATAACATAGTTTTGTGCGTAAGAAAATCAATGAAGCCCCGAGCCTAAAACATTTTAATGCATTTTAAGCAGCGTTTTTCTCGCTTTGTAACCCAAATTGCGCATGAAAAAAGTAAGGCGAAAGCTACACACACACACTGCCACGAACTGGTTCGAAAATGGGGGTTTTTCCACGGCCTGTCTGCGAGTTGGCCTGTTCCATTCGCTTTTGGCCAGGTGCGCGCTCGTAATCTAGTTAACAGCGGAATTGATTTATCCTCGACAATTAAAGCGACCACATCACATTTTTCACTTTACGTTTTGGCAGCAGCAGGAAAAGTCACCTCCTTTGTCCGCACTTGGCTCGAACTCTCCGACGGACTGCCCTTCGGGTTCTGAGGCGGAAAACTCTGCGGCGAAGTTTAGCGAGTCTGGGGAGCGGGCAGAGCGCATGTGCCGGCAGATGCCCGTTACTGCCCCAAAACAAAACAAAGCCAGAGCGGAGAGAGTGAAAGCTAACTGTAGTCAGCTGGCGTCGTCGAAAGTTCATCCCCGAATTCGGGTTTGTTTACCATCCTGGTGGAGCTTTTCACACTTAGCCTCTGCCTCGACTCTCGGATACCCTGTGGAGCGGATAGAGATACATAAAAAACCGAAGACACAGCACAGCGGTGGGTGAGTTTGTATAGTAAATTTATTTCGGGTTCATCGTGTTATACCAGAATACAATCGAAAGTTGGAAACAATTGTTAAGTTTAAATTTAGTTTACTTAGTATTTTTGCTTTTGACTTGTACGAACAATAAATACACACGCAAGACCGTAAAATGTAATTATTATTAATTGAATTTCATATATGCAAGTTTATATGTTTTAAAGGTGAGCGGGCACTTGGCCCACGGCTGCAATAATCCGCAATAATTAATGTCAATGATTTAGAATGGGGTACTACGATTATAAAAGTTAATTACTGCTGGGCTAATCGCATTCATTTACATTTCAAAGCGGGTTAACAATTAAACAAAAACCATAGGGATTCAATTTGGTTATTAAACAATTTCGGAATACATAAGTGCAATACTTTGGGGGTTACAATTGAACTTTTGATTACTCGTATTAATTTATATATAGAGGGGATTATTTATATCTGCTATATAATTTATCTTTTATCTTTCCTTTAATTACTGCTCCCTTATAGCGTTTTTCTACTTCGTTCTCCTCCGCTCGACTGTGTGATGCTTAATTGCTTAACTCGACTTATTTACATTTGCATTAGAATCGGATCGGAGCAAGCTGCTGGGCGTCGCTCGACAACTAATCCTTTTTACATAAGTAGTCCTGGCTTTAACAATTCAGTGCAAATTAACAGAAACAATCGGTGAAGAGGCGATCTCGCGAACAATTTAGCTAGACTAGGCGACGACACGAACGAAACTAGATACACATATCATATACATATATATAATTACAGTGCCTCTTCGCGAAAAGTCGACTCATTGTCCACCGGTAGGGATCCAATCCCGAAGCAAATGTCTAGACTAACTCCCGATTTACAATTCAATAAACACCGCAGGTGTTCTTAGCACGGCTGGGTAGTTGGAGGTGGTGGATGCGCAGCTTGGCTATCGATTCGAGTGGTGTTTGGCTCTTAGAGATAGCTAGGTGAATGGCTTCAACAATGGAATTAGTGAATCGATTACCCGAATGGGACCAGGAGGATTAACGTGACTGGTAATGGAGCTGCTTTGTTTAAAATTACAGCTAAGTGCTACGGCTTAAAATAAATACATAGGCTTTTATGTTTACTCGCTTCAACATATCGCGCATCTTAAAAACAAGATTAATAATTATGCATAATTAATATGGTTTTCTCTTCTGTTACGATTTAGGGTTTGTATTTTTCTGTGTCTGTATCTGAAAGTGTGGTGTAGGCATGCGCCCGGGGCTCGACTCACTCGCAGCACTTGACTAATATTTTTGATTAACCATATCTAAAGATGAAGAGAGAGGGAGAGAGAGAATAGTAGACAGTGATAAGTGAAAAGAAATCATAATTCGAGTTGCATAACAAACAATAAAATCAAAGTAAATCAAAATAACTTAAGCTTAACAAACTGTGTCTTAATTTCTTGATGAAACGTACGATGGTGAGGAGAGTCCAACCAAATCGAGACAGGAAATAAAACATTGCGAAGGCTTGAAAATTATCTTAAAGACGGTTGCTTAAAATGGGGGACTTGAGAGCGGCTGCTGCAGACCTATAGAACGGAAGGCTTAGTCAAGCAATCTAGGCATTGGTCATCCTGCGGCTCGGGCAGTGTGTGGTAAAGAGAGATGTACATGCAGATCTGAGTTAGTGGATCCCATTTCGCGTGGACGTATGGTTATGCCTGAACATGTGCGAGGATTTACATACACAGGGAGTGTCTAAAAAATTTCTTGCCGGATACACGAGCTTATCTGCTATGGAGGTTTTAATCTGATCGCCGGAAGGGCTATATCGAGAGATGACTGAGTGTCGGCACCACTTATCCATCGACCGAAGGTTACAATATTTGTTCGATTTATGCACAATAACAAGTTCGATGGTCAAAGACGCTTTTGCTGGTTTGATTAACTGGGTACCCCTCTACGGAGGCTGGCTGAGAGACTGACTTCTGGACCAACTGTTTATATACCTGGCGTGTAAGTGGTCTGCTCCGTTGTGTTCAGCGATGTGTTTTCGTTAGCTGCTACAGGGGCGCCGGTAAAAGGGTTAACACCCACGGCTCCACTGGGCGGTGGCATGGCGAAAACGGGCTGTCCTCCAGCCTGCTCGCGCGGCTGTGAAGTCACGGGGGCTCCGCCCGCACCCAAGTTCACGTCGTCGAGATCAACGTCCTCCTGCGGGACACACAAAATATGTTACATTATTTGTAATTACTTTACTTAATAGGGCATGTTTTGAGAGCTTGGAGGGGTGGTCCCTTCGGCAATGTTTAGTCAAAAACTTTCGGCGGGTGAGCAGTTTACAAGCCATGTTTACTATTCTACAGTTACGCTACGTTTACATTACTTACAGCTACTGGGACACTTTAAACCAAATACTACAAAATTATAATCAGCCAGATGACAGCAATGTAAGGAAACCATAAAACATTTACCAAGCATATACAGCAGAACTTAAATATATCGCTTTTCTGTCATCTCTTCGTGCGTGCTCTCGATTCACTTTTCTTTTGCGACTGATTGTTAGTAAGACTTGTCCCTTGTATCATATAAATTTTAATTTGGTTACCGTTCGAGTTCGAGTTGAGTTCGGATTTGGTTATTGGCTATACTTTAGTTAGTTGTTGTGTGGCGACAGGTGATCTTGCCCTGAGTTCATGCGGTACTCGTGCTGATATCAGTTTCGATTCGCATACTTACAAGGCGTGGCGGCTGTCCCAGATGAGGTGGCATATCGTTGACCTCTCGATTGCCATCGGGGCGCTACGGCGCAGGTCGAGAGCGAGTGTGTGGTGGTTGTGGGTGGTAGTAGGTGGTGGATATCATGAGTCGATCGCAAAGAGTTTTGAGAAAAAAAAAGTTAAACAAAAATAGAAACGTAAGTTCTCGGCTTCTCTTCCTTGGCTTGCAAACAAACAAAGGAAGAACACTGCTGATGTGAGTGCAAACTGAAACTAGATGCGGATGTGACACGTAAAAAACAAGAAAAGCAATCGTGGATGAAATAAAAAACGCCGGGTTGGTGTACGGAATTTCGATTCCCGCTGACTCAGTTGCGGATTATCCGAGCATAAAGTGTGGCCGTTATAGAAAGTTTATATTAATATATATAGAGAAAGAAACGTTGGAAGCATTTGATGATTTTCGTGAAGTACACAATACAAAACAAAAACAGAATAATAAACAAATTGGCAATACCTAAGAACTTAACTCGAATTGATCGGAACTGTTTGTCGGTGGGTTAGTAGTGTTTACCTCTGCCGCGGAGTGCAGGCTTCTGATGACTGCCGTGTATACAGTATAGAGAACCGAAAACCAAAAACAAAATTCGATACTTACCCCAACGAAAAACTAAAAACTAAGCAGTGCAACCAGAGAGTGGAGTGTTATACGGGTCTAAAGCAAAATCAAACAAAAAGTGGCGTGCCAAGAAAGCTGATAAACCAGAAAAATTATACTAAACAATGGATAGGCGTTTATTGATCGGTTATCTGGTAGGCAAGCATTAATGTCGGATGTGGGACCACGTTTTTGACTAAACATTACATTAGCTTCTTTTGCGAAACAACGATTCGGAATTCCTCACAAAAATCATCAAAATTGTTCGGGTGTTTAGTTGGTAATAGTACAGTGTGTTTGGGTGGATGAGAAGCATGCGTAATAGCTTATGTTTTGGCTTTGCACCAGATTGGTTTTCTTGTTTTCTCATTTTTTTTAACTAAATCAACATGATTTAAGTTAGTAGCGGATTGGGTTAGGGCGGGAAAGGGACTTGAACTTGGCAAAGCCAATTCAAACTTCACTCACATTTAGATGTGAATACTGGTCATGCGATTCGTTGACCGGCGGCTTGAATTTGCCGCAACAGAAGTTGCAACAACAGCAGCAGCAGCAACAACAGCAGCATCCTGTGACCACGGCGCAACAGATAAATAGCGCCTGCAAGGAATATCAAAGGTAAGTCAATGAGTCCAGCATTACGAAATACCGCGATTTCTGACCTTCACAGCCGGCGACGTGACTACGAAGTACGCATTGACATTCTCCTCACCGAACTGCTCGGCTATGTACAAGCCAAGAGAGCCGTAGTTGTCGTATATGTTGCGCTTCGTCTGGTCGCTCAGTATCGAGTGGGCCCGGTTCACCTCCTTGAACTGCAGAAATTTTGGCGTTTACTTCTAAACTTTATGGATGAAAACTTTCAGCAATACTTCACCTTATCGGCTGCATCGACATTATCGGGATTCTTGTCGGGGTGGTATTTAAGTGCGAGTTTCCGGTAAGTCTTTTTAATATCATCCCCGGTGGCTGTCTTCGGAAGTCCCAGGATTTCGTAGAGCGAGTCGCCCGATGTGCTAAATGAAGAGAAAGTGTAAATACCATCAGTATGCTGGCTGCATTGTAGTGGCTACCCACTGTTCAGTATTTGGAATTAACGGCTGATAAGCAAACTCAGATAAGACTTCGGGAAGATCTGTGTGGCTCCTAGCGTAGACGTACTGTGCCTCCGACATTCCTTCGCCAACTCTAGTCCCACTCTGGCCGAAGGCGATAAAAACCCGTCCGTGAAAATTACCCGTGGGCTATGAGTCACCGCAGCAACAGTTAGCCGTGGCACGCGATGGGAGCACTTCCAGGGCAGCACTTGGCCCTATGGGCTTGCCTGCACCCAGACGTCGGCATTAGGGAAGCAGTTGACATTGATGGTTTTGCAGAAGGGTCGCGTGCAGCATAAATTGCACCCTTCCGCATGCACACCGTATGGATTTTCTTGAGCAGGTGGATGCTATTTATAAGCTGGGCAAGTGCAGGGGAGGAAACGATGTGTCTACACCCGCTCTGAGAATCTGGGAGCTGATAAGGCAAGCGCTTGACAAAGTGGTTGAGGAATACGATGATGAGGGTGATTATGGGCTCAAGCGGATGCTAGGACCAGGGTCAGAGGGTGGTGGGCGATTGTGCAGGGCCAAGGACACAGGCAAGCGAAGCCAAATCGCATTCGCCTTGGACAGCGCCCAGAATTGGGCCAAGCAAACGCGTTTTGGACTAAAATTACTCATATCTAGTCAAAAGGGAGAAAAGTTGGCTAGCACGACCGTAAAACTCTCTGGCTGATAACGCTAGTTAGTTGGCAGCGATAGGATCTATTGGTCTGTTGTTATAGCTCGCCTATAGCAAGTCTGGTATGTGTACACGGAAACCTAAATATAATAGCAAACAGCCCGGACTATAAGATACCTGGTACGGATTATTATAAAGAATAAACAGAAAATAAACTTTTCTCCTAGAAGCCGTCTTCAGAGGATTAAGAATGCTTGAGTCATGGGGCAAGTTCGATTAATAAATTATTTTAGTTTGAGTTTCACATGATACATGTGAAATATAGAAGGTCTTCTATATATTAGTTACCTTATTTTTCACAACTGAATATACCCCTAATACTCTATCAGTAAGAAGCGATTATTGAATTCTTTGCAGGGTTTGTCCTTGGCCTTGCCCAGGACGAAATCGCTCGTCCATTTGTCTACTCCTGCCGCAGCTGCCTCTCCCCAACTCCTCTGCATCTCTTCCTTGACCCTGATCCTGGCCTATCTCGAAGCAAGCAAAGAAAAGGAATGTCTGATGGCTCAAGAAAATTTCTGCCGCGAAAAATCAATTTCACGCCGACTGCGCTGCCTGCGCGCATCTGCTACCCACACTTGCGTATAGCGCTGTGTGTGTACTTTGCTGACGGAGTGTGTGTGCGCCGTGGAGGAAAAACGAAGGAACACTGCAAAATACTTACGAGAGTTTTCTCTTGTCCATGCCAGGTGCGCTCATCCTGCTGCCTGTTTCTCTGTCACTACGCCTGCGAACGAGTTTTTAGCACTTGCGATCGCTGTCACACGCCCTCAATGTCTGTGTCCGCCGAGCACCACAATCTATCCGTGTGTTCTTCAAAAAATTGCAGTTTTCGTCCGAGCCGATTCCCCGATTCTTTTTTTCGCAACGAAGTTAGAGCTGGCACTAAACTGATTCTGAATTATCGATGACTTCGCTAGCGCCGATGTTTTTTATGCGAACGATTTTTCTCCAACCCTAAATAATTCCCGACTCTTAATAACCTCCGCGCTCATCAGCTTACAAGAATTAATATGACCTATTCGCACAAGCTGTAGAAAAACAAATGAAGTAGGCAATAAAAAAAAAAAAAACAGAAAATAATGTCGAAAGGATTTTTTTTTTGGAAATATGATTTATATTAATATAATTATTATTTTGTCACACAAGTGCCAATGTAAAAAAGGTGCAGAATTTTGTTACCCAGTGGTGATGTAGCCAACGAGTCTAATAATTTGATGTGCAATAGTGGGAACACAATGGCTGTTACAATCTATTCTTCGTATGTCACGTAAATATAAACTTTTTTTTTATAAATGAATGATAACAAAATTTATATTTCAACTTTTTCTACAACTTATTTAGTAAATATTTTTTGATAAAAAAGATTTGACAAAAAATGAAAAGTTTGTTTGACAATTAAGAGTGACATATATTAGAAATAAGAATTAAATAAAAGTAGGCAAATGAATTTAGGCGATTGTGAACAGAAAAAAAAACCGGAACGCCCCAAATTCCAAAATATACTAACGCGTGGCAGAGGATAGACAGCTGCTGTCACATATGGAGTAAAAAGACATGTTGCGCCTGTAAAAACCGAACAAAATCGACTAGGATTCAATTAAAAGGCGACCTGAAGCCTTTCGTTGAGACTCTGATAGGATGGGCGAACCGAAAGCCAGCTCCGAGCCTGAGGAAGAGCAGGCCTTTAACTGCGAGGACGAGGCTAACGCAATCATCAACGATGTGAAGGCACACGTCGCGGAGATCTGCGTATCCTCCAAGCTGGCGAGCGATGCCACCCAGATCTACCTTAACATCCGCACCATAGAGAGCGCCACCTGCTGCGTTCAGGTGACCAGTCGTGGCTTCAAGATTGTCTCCTCCCAATACGACACCATAGACGAGGATCCGCGGATCTCGGTACTACTCCACGACAGGCAGGAGCAGGAGAAGGCCGAAGAGAAGGAGGAGATATTTGAAACGCCCTACGCGCTTTTGGACAAGATCAGCCCGCGCTACGTGGAGTCATTCGGTAACCAGCTGTGCCAGCAGCTCAGACAGTTGCAGCAGATGAGAACAGAGTTCCACGAGGAAGACGAGGAGGAGGAAGAGGAGTGATGGCGACCCGAAGACTCCAGATCCCAGCCCAGGCTGTTTACTCTTTAGACAGAAGATTTTAATGTTAGTTTAATTGAATGTTTACTCGTAATGGCAGAGCTACAGCTCCGATTTCCTAATATTTATGTGTGTATGTGCCGCAAAAGTATTCCCGCGTGAGATGGTTATGCAGCCCTCACTTCACACACCCTATCCTTGCTTGGCAAACGGATACCGCTCCAGATTCGTTCTAGACCTTAAGGCGTTTCAAAAATAAAGATTGTGATTGCAACTCCAGGTCGGTCAGTTTTCGAACGGTGGGCACCAACTGCTCAACGTGGTCCTCATATCCGCTGCCAGTGTTGAAGTTCTTCTGACCGTATACGACTTTACCGTCAAAGTCGTTAACAGGAACTTCCATTGCACGATCTACTTGCTGGATGGTGATGTTTAGGTGATCCTCAACTTCGGCCAATAGGTTGGGCTCGTTGTACCAGATACAGCATCCTCGGACGTCGGTCAGGTTGGTGTTGTTGCAGTTGCGGCCGCGCGACTTGCACCACTCGCCGTGGTACCATACCTTTTCCGGCACTGTAGACACCAGGCTAATGGCTAGGCCCATGCGTTCCGCCCTGCCTACACGTCCTATGCGGTGCACGTAGTTTGTCTTGTCGTCGGGCAGCGTCACATTGATCACTACGGATGAGAAAAAAGTAAATTACTCGTTGTTTAAGTGCAGTTCTGTTAAGAATCCAGATAATATCTCTTGCATTAGCTTATGGGCCTTTTTTAAATGGGTGTCTCAAAATATTTTGGAACTAAGTTTTCCATCGGATTTGTACATAAAATGCACTACTCACTGAACGGCAGTCCGGTAATATCTAGGCCGCGTGCGGCCACATCCGTGCAAATCAGAAACTTGACCTGCTGCTTCTTAAACATCTCCAGATTCTGTTTGCGCTCCTGCGGTTTTCGGTCGCCGTGCAGGCAGACGCATGAGTAGCGTTGTCCTCCACGTTGACGGAGGTACCTCTCTAGGTTGTCACAGTCTTGCTTGGTGCGACAGAAGATAATGGCTCGGTCCATCTTGTGCTTATCAATAGCGTGGATACAGTATTCGCCTTTGAGTATCTTGACAGCTTGCGACAGCGTCTCCTCAGAGGGATTGCCCGGGTGGATGTTGTCGCGGTCGTGGACGCCGTCGGTATTAATGGGCTGACGGAGTGACTGCCAACTGGTGTCAGCCTGCGGGTCAACTAGGCATACGACGTGGTGTACCGTCTCGGGCACGGCATCTTCTCCCTTCAGATCTACCCAAGTTGGAAAGTGCATCAGCCGTTCGGCCATCTTCTTTACCTCGAATGCATGCAACGTAGCCGAGCAGACAACCATCTGCAGTCGGCGGCCGTCCGACGTTATCTTCGGTATCTGCTTGTGTAAACGATCAATCAGTTCGGTGTAACCCTGCTTAAGCAAGGCGTCGGCCTCGTCCAGCACGAAGAAGCGGCAGTGAGTGAGCAGAACCAGACCGCTGTTGATCATCTCCTCCAGTCTTCCGGGTGTGCCCACCACAATATGGGTACCCTGCATTAGCTGCGCTTTTTGCTCCTCCAGTCTCACTCCGCCGATGAGAAGCAGGGAGCGAACCTCGGGGTTGCTTAGGTGGTACTTAAACTTCTCGATCTGGTTGTAGGTCTGCTCGGCCAACTCCCTGCTGGGCTCGATGATGATGGCCTGAGGAGCATTCGGCGCCGGCTTGGCGGAAGCGGCTCCACCTGCGGGACTTGCCAGTGGATTGGTATTGGTGCGATCCGCTCCAGCATGGCAGGCACCGACGAATCCATTGCCCGGAGCGTACTTAAAGTCAGTCTTTCCGAAATTGAATTGCATTTCTGCATTTTTAAGTACCACCGCTGGGTAGAAAGTTTCTTTGGCGAGGTTATCCGGCAACCGAAAGGCCACACCAAGATTCTGGCCATTCTTGGAAAAGCTCACCTCCAAGCGCTGCATGTCGAGCAGGCAACCGATGACATCCGCCTTGCCGAAGGCTTCGCCGTAGTCTTCGAACTGACGGTTGTTAGACTTCTTCCCGGTTCCACCGAATCCGAAGCCCATACGGCATGTGCCCAGATCAAGGTTCGCCTGATGTGTGGACCAGCCCACGCGACACAGACCCTCGTCGGTAACCATGGCCTCAAAGTAGAACTTTCCCTTACCCCGGACACCGGTGGTAGCGCGACATCCATGCCACTCCTTAAACTCTCGCGACTGGCAACGCAAACCATCGGGAGTTACGGCTAATGCGTTGCCGCGATCGAAGAAAGACATGGTCCAGGGCGATACCGATCCTCCACCTGTGCCGCCCTTACTTGCCTTTCCCTCTTCTAGGTCCCGCAGCGTCTCCCAAACTATTTGCAGAATGGGCAAGCAGAAGGCACCCGTTTTTCCTGACCCGGTTTCGGCGGCCATTAGCACATCGCCGCCACCCAAGATCAGAGGAATCGCCTCCGCCTGGACATCGGTTGGTAATCTAAAAAGCAATCATTTAATACATTTTTGCCACGTCGTTTTTCTACTTACGTCCAGTCCAATTCGTCTGTTGCCTTGCCCAGCTCCGGAAGCACACCAAACTCTGAGGCGAAAATATATATCAAAACTAACTCCTCGAAACACCTATTTGCACTTACCTTCGAATGCAGTCATTTTGAGAATATTTCTAAAATCCTCTTTCGTGCTGCTCGAAAGCCGGCTAGAAGTCCTTATTTCGATTTGACAGAGATTTATAATTCAATCGAACCAATTAATCGATAAGATTTTAGTGTTGGCGAATTTTGCTTCCAACTAACAAAACGCTATGCCCCTAGGATAGGTAGTCAAGTGAATCAAATTAGAACGGGAATAATAAGCGTTTAAGAAAGTACACTCAAGAGTGTCATATGTAGTACACATATTCACAATGTTTAATTTTAAGCTAGCATGTTAGAATGTTTGAATATCGAAGTTTACATTAAAAATGGCATCTAGCGAATTCATAATGCAATTGTTGTCTTCAAGAATTGGATATTGGTAAATTAAGGAAGTATAATTTAAATTTCAATATTGTTTATACCGAAATCTCCATGATCTTATTTTTGATCTTATATATTTGATATTTACATAAGACGAATAAAAAGTCTTCATCCTGTTGGTTGAAAATATGTTTAAGAGAATTTTTGATAAGCTTATCCTGCATTCTAAAATATTAGATAAATACTTAGATTCGTTCCGTACACATTTTATATGTTCTCAGCAGAAACACCTAAGCTGATCAGCACTATTACTTGAACTAAGTCAGTGCTGCGAAGAGGCGATTGGCAAACAGCTGTGATTATGTGATGTTTGCCAACACCAACACTTGTATATCCGTATAAAAGAGGTGGGAAAACTTCAATAGTGTTTATATTCGATATTTTTGATCTTGTTATCTTATTAAGTCATAATTATGATTTTGACGAGGAGTTTTAAAATTGTGCGGAATATACTTAAGTTTAACCTTTTAGCCTAGTTATGCTGAGCATTTCTGTGGAACTAAGTAGAAGGTAATTTTATAAATCGGCGTTATCGCTTACCATCAAAATCAAATCCGATAGCATTTTGCAAAATAAATATTCGATTGGTCGATACCAGCGTAAAATCGCGCAGAATATTTGTTGTGTTGTGGAATGTTTTGTAAAAGTGCTAATTAGGCAATGGATACCATGTAAAACTGGGCGTAAACTAAAAAATGTAAATGCACCCGCATCCGTCAGCAGGTTGAATTCGTTTTTCCACATCCTTGCCCTTGCTAATGCAGTTTTCCGTTTGCGCAGTTACCTTTCACTCGGAGGATGTACTTTCCCGTAGGCTGGCCCAAGCGGGTGGGCTTGGCGCTGCCTGGCGAGAGCGCCAGCATCCGGCACATCTGCTGCGACGCGGTTAAAATACTCGTGGCTGCCGTCGGCAATGACTTCCTGGGCATTTGGTATGCGAATCCGCTCATTCCCATCGCTTACTTTCGACGGTCGGAAGACTCACAGAGGCAGTACGGTTCCAACCAGCTGATCGTGTGGAAGCCGGACTCCCGGCAGCTGGCTCTGCTTACCGCATCAGGTTCATTGCTGCTCTATCAATTGGACTTCGATGCCAACGGCAGTGGGATTCTTATGCAGGTGGATCCACCAACCGCGAGCCTCAAACGTGACTCCGCCGAGCTGTTCATCAAGGAGAACATTCCCCGTCTTAGCCTTCGTGAGCTCTGTACCGTGACATTAGGCTCCGTCATCACCACTGTGTGCTGCATCAGCCTCAGTGAACTGCTCCTTGCCACCCAATCCTGCGAGCTGTTACGCCTGCAGTGGAGTCAATTGGAACAATCCGAGAACGAACTTGAGCTCCCAGCCCTAGCTGCCATTAAACTGCGCGATATTCCATTTTACGTGCAGCAGCAGGTACAGCAGTCGTCCGCCCGGAATGTGCCGCCCTTGAACCGAGACTCCTATGTAGCCTCACTAGAATATTCCCCATTCATAAGCGGTTGCGCAGCCGTTTTCAGCGATCGTCGCGCTGCCTTTCTGATTGCAAACCATCTTCGGTTTGAGACCGACCACATGCACGGGTTCTGGGTGCCGGACGTAGAGGATGCGAGCGTTTGTAGTGTCAACCACAAGTTTCGACTGCTTGCCTACGGACAGATGAGCTCGGCGGTTAACGTCTATGCGATTGATGATGCCACCGGTGGACTGGAATTTTCGCACCGCCTGATGCTCACGGAGAATGTGCTGCCGGGTAGCCTGGGATCGGTGAATGAGCTTAAATGGAGCCCAGACGGTTGTGTCCTTGCCGTTAGTTGGACGAATGGTGGCCTGTCTTTATGGAGCACATTCGGATCCTTGTTGATGTCTACTCTTAGCTGGGACTTTGGCCTCAACGTAGATTTAGTGCGACAAAATCCACTCAAACTCCGTCGCCTAGAATGGTCCACCGAAGGCTATCAACTTTTTATGTTGACACAGCAGCCTTCAGAAGGACAGGAAAAAGACCAGAGCAATGTGCTTCAGCTGCAGTTTGTGAAGAGCGCGCTAAGCATGAATCCCTGCATGACTACAAATCCGCACATCTTGCTGCAGGGCGACGATTGCCTGTACCTTAACCAGGGCAACAACTTGGAGCTGACTTACGCCGGAAGCCAGGCCACGTTTCCCTCGTGCGGCGTGAGTTCGGAAGATGCGATGTTCAGCGAAGGCGACTGTCTGGAGTTAAAACAAAACCCGCACACGGGCAGTATCCTCACGGAGAGCAAGTATTGGACTGTGTTGCAGTTACCACTCAACTACGCGGCCACCAACTGGCCTATTCGATATGCTGCAATCGATCCGGACGGACTTCACTTAGCAGTGGCTGGACGCACAGGACTGGCGCACTACTCTCTAGTTACTCGACGGTGGAAACTTTTTGGCAACGAGTCGCAGGAGAAGGATTTCGTGGTCTCCGGTGGCCTTCTCTGGTGGCGTGGCTTTGTGGTCATGGGCTGCTACTCACTTTTGGACCGCACAGATGAGCTGCGTTGCTATCCAGCGGAGTGCAAACTAGACAACCAATACGGCCACAAGCTGCAAGTGCGAGCGCCCGTAATTAGCCTGAACGCATTTAGACACCAGTTGATTGTACTTACTGCCGATGGGATCGTTAGCCTGTTTAATATGTCAAAGAAATCGGCCTATGCCCTTGACGTTGAGTGCGCCTATGAACTGGATGTAAAGAGCATCTGCATCCACCCAGCTTGCATTGTAAGTCTGACCGTGACGAACCTCAAGAATGAGCTGAAGCCTCAGGGTCAGCATCAGGGCGGGGAACAAGCAGAGACCATCATCGTGAATGTTTGCGGCCGTATCTTGATGATCCAGCGAGACGCCGGAGAACAGGTATGTAGTGATTCTAATTAGTTAAATTAAAAATTGCTTTTAACTTGTATCTTTACAATTGCGCCTTGATTTTTACAAAAGACGAACTTTTGATTTTTCTTTTTACCACATAGGTTCCCAACACTTTGCTGGCTACGTGCCTGGCTAGCTGCGTGGAGGTCTTCTGGCTCTCGCACTCCCTGGAGCGGTGTGCGATGCGAGACTGCCTTTGGCTTTACTCGGGGGCTCACGGAATGCGTGTTTGGCTTCCAATTTTGCCGCCGGGGAGGGAGCGACGCGAGGGAGATCACGGAGGTGCCCAGCGGCTACACAGTTTTATGTCGAAGCGGATCATGCTAAGCTTTCCGTTGAAGCTCTATCCGCTGGTCGTGCTCTTTGACAATGTGATTGTGCTAGGGGTGGAAAACGAAAGCACGCTTTACGCAAACGAACACAAATCGCACTTCTCACTTCCGTTTGCTGTGATGGAGCGCAAGTCGCAGATCTATCTTCACAAGGTCCTTCGGCAGCTTATAAAAAGGAATCTTGGATACTCCGCTTGGGAAATCGCCCAGTCGTGTCGATCGCTGCCTTATTTTCCTCACGCCCTGGAACTGCTTCTGCATGAGGTTCTAGAGGAAGAGGCCACAAGCAAACAGCCCATTCCGGATGCTCAGTTGCCCAGCATCCTGGACTTTATAAGAGAATTTCCCGTCTACTTGGAGACAATTGTTCAGTGCGCCCGAAAAACCGAGATCGCCCTTTGGCCATACCTCTTCTCAATGGCCGGTAAACCCAAGGATCTATTCCAGATGTGTCTGCAGTCCGATCAGCTGGACACGGCTGCTAGTTACCTGATAATCTTACAGAATCTGGAACCCTCTGTAGTAAGCAAGCAATATGCCACTATGCTGCTAGACATAGCTCTGCAGCAGCGAAAGTGGGAGTTGGGCAAAGATTTGATTCGCTTTCTGAAAGCCATCGACCCAAACGAAATTGACTCGCCGCGTTCCTCAATGGTGGTAAATGTGAAGATCGCTCCGCCTCCCCAGGTAACCACACAGCAGCAGGTGAACCAGAATGCGGACGCCTTCAATATGGTTCTGGGTCCCATTGCCAGAGAGAGAAGCTTCTCCACCACGGTGACCAGCAACCTGCCCAAGGACAAGCAGGCTGCATCAGGGGCACCAGGAGTATCGCCTGTGACAGAAACTAGCAGTTCAGGAGCACCCACAGTGGTGCGCCGTCGGTCCACTAAGCAGAGGGAGACGTTTTGCATTGACCTGATCTTGCAGCGCCATGCTCGCCAGCTACTGCAGAACCACAAACTGACTGACTTGGGCTATATGTGCGCCTATCTTGACTTTCATCTTGTCACCTGGCTTTCACAGGAATCTGATAGAGCAGCCAAATTGGATAATTTTGCAGGAGCACTGCAAGCGCTGCACGCGGAGCTACAGCTCCCCAACCCTTTTCCGATTCCCGTAAAGGACGACTTTTCTCATCTAACCGGAAGTCTTAGGCAGACTGGTGGTGGCGGATCCTCACAGACGTCGGAGTCTGGATACTTCAGTCTAGCCACGCCCAATGGAGCTGCTACGCAGTCTCCACAGCTGCAGCCATGCATTAGGGAGGAGGAGGAAGAACTTCAGCAACCAAGTTCGCTACCAGTAATGAAGACGCGGTCCGGATCACAACTTTCGTTCGACAACTTCCGCTACCGCCGGCTCTATTCTTTGCCGGCATCGGAGGATGACCTTAATGTTGAACCGTTACCCGAGAAACTGTCCATCAAGCTGCGTTATTTGTTGCAGCTATTTATCGAGGCAAACTGTACGGACTACGCTCTGGTTATTTCGATCTTGCTCCAAGACGCTGCTTCCATTTCGCGGATTGTAAACGGGATAATACGGAGCGAGTCGGTTCACACCTGTCGGCGCACGGAGACGGCTCTCAAGTTTTTAAGCCAGAGTACCTTCGAGCACAGTGGATCATTGTACCGGGGATTCGTTCTCACCCTGCAGCCGCACGTATATCTACTGGAGCAGTATATACAGTCGTTGGGGGACTTATCCAGCTCGCCTCTCCAAGATACCAGCACGGGTACCGAGCAAGTCGAGGACGCGGCCAATGAACTACACGGACTTGAGAATGAAGAGGTCGATTTTGTGCCAAAATCACAGCAGGCAAACGGAAACCAATGGTCGGACCTGCATCCAAATCAAAAACGGCTGACGCGGCATGCAAGTTTGGAGTCGAATGGGAATTCGGCGATGGCCAGCGGTTCCTCCGCTCACTCAACGCCCACCCAACGTCAACTGCCCCGGCAAAACAGCCGCGAGCGGGAGGGCTGCCGTCTCATGTAAGCCGCTATCCGTAATACGACAGGGCTAAGCCGTACTCCACATACTCAGCACCAGGATGTAGATACGTACTCTATACGAGCATATGTATTTTTTGTAAGTCCGTGATGGAAAGCGTTTTGTTGCTGTAACTCGTTAAAATTTTCTGTTAATTGTAAGTCAGCGTACACACTCATCATTAGAGAAATGACCGGACAGGAACTCACACGCAGACAACGAAGCGTCGCCGGAAAAACAAACAAGCAACCGTATAAGCGTATGAAACATACGTAACGTAATCCATAATTTAGTAGATGAAATTTGCTGCAATATTTGTTAATTAAAATTATACAAACAATATACTTAAATATACAAATCAAATACAATTATATTTTTACTAATAAATGAAAATATTTAACAATAAGAGCTTTGGTATTTTGTATTAATTGCTTTTATATTTTCAAATTGTAATTGATATTGCTACTTAAACTGAATTTGAATATTTCTGTTTCGATAGTTCTATCTATTTCTATTGTTATGAACAAAAAATGAGAGTTTCAGAAAATAAAATAACGCTATGTAGATAACCAAAGGCTAGGAAAATAGAGTTATGAGTCTTAGATACCATTCCGTTGAGTCGGACTCTTAACTGCTAGGCTACTAGAATCTTCCTCAAGTAGTCACTATGTTCAAGTTTTCTTGAGTTTTGGTGGATCAAACGTCATGCCATTCACCCTCGACTATTGTGCCAAGGCATGTTGACTCTGCGACAACGTCAGGTGTAATTTGTTCGCCCGCTGCTGCTGTAAAAGTTAATCGCTGTGACTGATTCATTACGTGCTCTGCTTGATTTGGTAATGCAGGTGGTAGTTAGGATAGTGCCACTGCCGGAGCCCGGACCCCGTGGAGTCTGCGTTGTTCGAACTGCGCTTTTCAAGTTTTCCCACCAAGTTTTCGCAATTCCAATTCACAACGTTCGACTCACACATACACACTTTACAACGTGCACAGAGGAAAATATGATTTTCCTTTATGATTCCTACGGGTTTTTCCTGTGGAGTTTTTGGGCCCCAGCCGACTAAAATTATTTTTACATATGAACTTTGAATCATAATCTACCATATGTAAGATACGTAATTCCTTTTGATTAGTTCTCGTCAAGTTAATGATGAGAAGATTTTTTAATAGGATTTAAAGCATAAGCATCAACGAGAAAACTCTACGTTTTAAATAGGAAAGCAATATAAAGGTTTAAAACATTAAGTACCTACATATTAATGCCATCATATAAAGGTTTATAACATTAAGTACCTACATATTAATGCCATCATTAAGTTCACAGAGTTATTCGAATTTGTTTACACTAATAACAAGCCATTAGGTTCTACAAAAACATGGCCAAAAGCGGATAGTTATAATAAAAAGTTAATTATTTCTAAAAACGTTAGCCGAAAAGGCAAATTGGCTTTTGTTCAGTGTAAAATTGCGAGTCTAAGGGTGGTGGACGCGCCAGGTCACAATAAAAACGTAAGTCTTACGGAGCGTAATCACTGTAATGTAACGATGGGGCAGGGGGTCGGCCAAAGTCGCAGAATTTGCGAGTTCGCTCTCAAACGTCGTGCCCACGGGACGCAATTTTTAAGTTGGAGAGCAGGAATTCGTGTAGCTTACATCCTTCCGGATCCTGGCTGGCTGAAATACAACTATTGACGCTTCGCCGAAGAGCCGGCCTATAGTTGTGGAGGCGGTGGGCGCACCGGCATCACATAAATAAAAGCATCAACACCAGACACATTGCAAGTTGCAGCGGAAGTCGTCGCCGTCACCGTCAAGTGCGCAGACATTTTTTGGGAAACTTTTCCGAATTCCTTACATTGCGGCCAGGAGCTGGCAGCCACCGACGACAATAACAACTGTAATAATGCCGCAGACAACGCAACATCCAACAGCAACAACCACGGCAACCACTACAATGTAATCAACAACGCCACATGCGACGGTCGTCTTCCAGGAGCTTTTTGTGGGCGGTGGAGGCGGGAAAGTGGCTGCTCGTCCAGTCAAGGGTTAAGGATGCACTCAGACCAATTGCCATAGTTTAGAACGTTGGGGAAAGGATTTCATTTTGCTCACTTAAATACAAAAATATTAAAACATAAAACAGAATATTTGAAATTATATTGTATCATAAAGAAGATACTTGAATATTAAGTATTAAGTATTAAGTTTAGTATTAAGTTTTTCTAAAAAATCGTTAAAAAAGGAAATTATTTTATAAAATAATAAGAAAAAAAAGTAATAAGACTGAAGAAACATTGACATATTGTAACACACATTCCAAATTTATATTTTAACTCTGCGCCTACAAATGTGCATCCTGTTTATCCTTCTTTTTGATGTAATTTTACATAATAATAATTTGCACGGATTTTTTAAAGACCAAAAATTCTGAAGTGTAAGATTGTTAACAGGTCCAAATATAACTATAAATTCCCTTTCTCATATATAAAGCTAAATCATAGTAAATATAGCTTTTATATATAATATATACACTACAGGTTAAAATAAAGGTAAATATAATAAAAAGTAAGGTTAAGTTTCATGTTTTTTAGGTAATTTATTTTGTAAAAATGAATAAAAGTAATATAGCATTTTGAAGCAACTGAGGCTGCGTTTTTCTTAGTGTCGACACTCTTGTGTCGTGGGCGTAACAGTAACAACTTTTGCCAAATATCCGATGAAAATTCGAGTTGCCTTGGCGATTTTGATGAATTCCTCAATAAACACACTCCCATATGTACAAATGGCTGCAGGCATGTTCATATGCATGTGCAACTCAGTTTATAGTTGCAACTTGCAAGTGCTGCCTGAGTTTATTGCAGCTGCGGCAAGGATCGCTTTATGCGGATGAATGGAATGTAAGCTTGTTGTGGTTGCACTAAAAGTCTTCTCTCGGTCCTGCAACGTGGAAATGTGTTTTGGCATTTTGGTAACCGAATTAAGCTTAGTGGATGCCAGATCAGTGTGGCGAAGTGGGTGGCAGGATGACACTGGAAGGCATTAAAATCCGGATGTATTTACCTATAATGCAATAATGATTTTTATCTCCTTCTTGTATTTTCTCTGATTTTTACCAATATTTCTTTACCAATACTTTCTGTGAAGTCGGATTGACATTGATTTACGGAGACTTAAACATTGTAAAAACCACTATATTTGTCAAACTTTCTTAGTCACTTTGTATTCACTTTTGCCTAGCTTTAGCATAGATTGGGCCTGGTCATAAGATCAATATAAGTGAAGGGAGATTGGTATTCGTAGATAACGTTATGATAGGGTTGGCAAAATCGACCGCCTTAAAATACACAAGCTGATATACAACTGATATTCAAACAAGTAATCGTTATATACAGATACAAATTTATGATAGGTGGTATACGAGTATATAAAAAGTAGCTTAAGCCACTTCAATATTCTAACGTATATAGTCATATGACTTCCCCATTTTCTTTAGGAAGCGATCTGAATGCAAGGACCGAAATGACGTTATCTTCAAGTACATTGCTCTTGCTTTTCAATTTGAGCCAACACATATTTTGTTTATTTATCTTGGCACCCTTCGCCGCTGTTATTTGTAGTTGCTGCTCCTCCGGTAATTTCTGCTGTTATGCGGAGAGTTTTTGCGAGTTGGCTGGGGCTGAAATTCGTTTTAAAAACCCGAAACCAAAAACAATTTCATTAGCATAGATTACGAGTCATTCAGACAAAACAACGGCTTGCATTTCAAATGAACTTTAAAAACAGACTGACGCCCAGGACACCAGCCCCGTCCTGCTCCCTTGGTATCCCGTCGTTGTGCAGTTCAATGAAAGGAAACATGGCAGTGGCAGTGCCAGTTCCCGTTCTCGTTCCTCCCCCAACTGCAGTGACGGTTCCATCGAGTCTACTATTTTTTGGTGTAAAAATTTCTAAATTGTACATTCATTGCATTTGCATTTTACAAGTAAATCCCCAACTGCCAATCTAATGCATGTTGCAAACGCTTCCCAGACTCGATTCCTTCTGTCTGTCTGTTTGTTTGTAGCCAGCCAAGCGTCTAACCATTCGTCCAGGAACCCGATCCCATTCTCCGCCTCCGCCTCCGTCTCTGTCTCCGCCGCCTCCGTCTCTTGGCCCGGCCCCCGATCTGACCCCCGATCCTCGACCTTTCGGTCGTGTCCATGCAGGCGCTTTTGTGTAAAACACTAAAAAGTCTACACTTCTCTCCGTTTTTCGCTCCCAACTCCCGTGCAGCTTCAACTTTGAACCAACACGAGGCTGAGAGCCGCCCAAAACATAATAAAAGCTCAAAATGGAGCCAGCAGGAGGACGAGTGCCAGGACGAGTCCCGGATAACTTTTCCCCCCGAAAATCACAGAATCAACTTACACTGCAGTCCATTGCGGGCAACGCAGCTCCAACTCTAGCTCCATCTCCATCTCCAGCTCCAGCTCCAACTCCATCTGCAGTTCTGTTTCTGTTGTTGTCCCTACATCGTTAGCTGCATTGAAGTTTGTCCTGCCCCCGGACCACCCATCCCGAGTGCCCCCGAGGCTGCTCCGTCCCCAGGACCGGCGTTCGAATTGCTTTTTGTGAGCATGAATAGATAAATACGCTGAGTAGTAGCACCAACTGGTAGGTGTCGGTCCCTGGTCCCGCGCAGCCTCCTCCGGCCGGCTTTTCCCGGAATTCCCGGATCCCAGGACTTGGCTCGTCTGGGCGAAATTTGAAAACCACAAAGTTTTCGATTCACTGTGAAAAATATCATGTTCCCTTAAGAATATTTCTTTTAAAGGTTGAAATTCAATGCATTTTTGGTGATAAATCGTTAGTTTTAGAAATACGTACATAATATATATCTTCTTAAAAACTATTGAGAATTGTTTTAGAAAGTAACACAGTCCACTGAATTCGAAGGGATTTGCATTAGAGGCATATTAATGGAATTTAAAAAAAGAGTTATGCAACTTAAGAACTGTATTGCCTTCTTAGTGACAATTTACACTAGAAGTGTGCCTTATTCATTGCAGAAACAATAAGCTAATAATAAGAAATCTAACACCAGAAGTTCAGGTTATTCTTTCACCGCAACTGTTAGGTGAAAACACTTTTTAGGTGTGCGAGTCATTACATAATTAAAGTAATGAGAAATATCTATTCTCCTATATAAAGTTATAGTCCCGGAAAATCGTAATACATTTACAGCTTTCTTGCAGTGCTTGAGTTTTCTCTTCGTTGGATGTTGTGGGGCGGAGGAGTCTGAAGATGTCCATCGCAACTGTCGAATTTTATTTATTTCGCTAAGGCCAAAAGCTCACAATAGAAACGTTAATGGCAACGTCCGACCCCAGGCATGGATCCATGGGCGTCCGTAACAG